AATCAAACAATCAATCAACAAATAAATAAGAAAGAAAAAGAAATGAAGATGTTGACTATCCAGTGGGAAAAGTTTGTTTTCTCTCATTGCAGCTGCTAAATTGACTGACATAATGGAAACTAAATGGACACTAAATCCTAGGAGACTTCTAAGAGGAGGTGATTTTTCTTTTAAAAACTAAAGTTTGTTTGTTTTCTTTTTTTTGCATTATATCAATCATGAAAAAAACTGGCCAAAGGAGAATTAGAGGAATCAGTAGGGGAACCTGAAGGAGGAACAAGCTCAATAGATGTTTCGGAAACTGAGAAGGTCAGTGTGGCTGGAGCCTGGTGGCAGGTAGAAGAAAAAAAACCCACAAAGCTGGAGTGGGTAGCAGGAGCCAAGGCGTGCCCCAGGCCGGGGTTTGATTCTTTTTTTATTTTTAGGGTCTTTATTCTTGATGTAATGACCAGCCATTGGAGACTGTAAGCAGGGACACGATATCCTCTAATTTATGTTTTAAATAGATCACTTGTCCTGGCTGGAGCAGCTCGGTGGGTTGAGTGCCGGCCTGCAAATCAGAAGGTCACTGTTTCAATTCCTGGTCAAGGCACATGCCTGGGTTTCAGGCCAGGTCCCCGGATGGGGCGTGCAGGAGGCGACCAAACGATGGATCTCTCACACATCAATGTTTCTCTCTTTCTCCATCCCTTCCTCTCTCTCTCTCAAAATAACTAAAATCTTTAAAAAATACAATCAACAAAACAAAAGACAACTTACTGAATGGGAGAAGATATTTGCCAATGATATATGTGATAAGGGGCTGATATCCAAAATTTATTTAAAAACTCATACAATGCAACACCAGAAAAACAAACAAACCAATTAAAAAATGGTCAGAGGATCTGAATAGACACTTCTCCAAAGAGGGCATGTGGGTGATCAATACGTAGAAAAGAAGCTCAATGTCACTAATCATCAGAGAAATGCAAATTAAAACCACAATGAGATACTACCTCACACCTGTCAGAAAGGCTGTCGTCAATACATCAACAAACAAGTGTTGGTGAGGATTGTATATTGGTGCAGCCGCTATAGAAAACAAGATGGAGATTCTTTAAAAAATTAAAAATAGAACAGCCTTATGACCCAGCAATCCCTGTCCTGGATATTTATTCACAGAAATCCAACACATTAGTTCAAAAAGATAAATGCATCCCTATCCTTGCTGCAGCATTATTTACAATAGCCAAAGTATGGGAATAACTTCAGTGCCTAAGTGGCCGCAAAAAAGAACGAAAACTGACCACTTGCAGAAACATGAATGGACCTAGAGGGTATTACGCTAAGTGAAGTAAGTTAGAGAAAGGGAAATACATATGATTTCACTTACATGTGCAATCTAAAGAACAAAAACAAAAACAAAAAAACAGAAACAGACTCCCAGATACAGAGGACAAACCAACGGTTGCCACATGGGAGGGAGTCGGGGCTGGCTGAAGAAGGTGAAGGGATTGAGCAGTGCAAATGGGCAGTTACGGAACAGCCCCGGAAAGGTGAAGTCCAGCACAGGGAATGTAGTTGCTTGTGCCGTAATGAGTATGCAGGGTGCCAGGTGGGCAGTAGGCTTATCGGAGGGATCACTTCACAAGTTTTATAATTGTCTAACCACGATGTCGTACACCTGGAACTAATATAATATTGAATGTCGCCTGTAGCTGCAAATTTTTAATTGAACAAAGAAGAAAAGAACCCTGGTTCCCGAAGGTAGGGACAGAGGAGCACACGGAGAAGCGGAAAGGCACAGTTGGGGAGGGGACAGTGGCACTGAGAGGGAGGGTCGAGCAAGGGCTGGGTGAGGTGGAGAGAGAAGCCAGGGCTGGAGAAGGGGATGCAGATGGACCTAGGGATGGGGGACTCGCTTTTGAAAGGCACGGGGGGGGGGGGGGGGGGGGGAGGACCCTTCATCCATTGTCCTGGAGGGAAGGCAGAGAGGCGGGCGGGGGGGGAGGTGAAGCGGAGGGAGTGGCTGCTGACGGCTCCTGTTTTCTCAGGGAAGAAGGAAGTCACCAGCTGAGAGTGAGGAGACAGAGTGAGGGTCTTTGAGGAGGGCGATAAACCAGACTTCCCGGGACAAGGGGGGCAGGGATGCCAGGGCATTTATGCACCCATTGGAGGTTCAAAGTGAAGCCAGTCGGCCCAGCAAACACCGGGTGTGTTCCAAGGGGATTCTAGTCATATTCTTTCAACACACAGGTTCATTTTGCATGGCTGAAGCCATCTGCACGTAAGATTTTATACCCTGCTTTTTTTCACTTAACGGGGTAGCAGAAGCACTTCCCCGTGCTTTATAAACTCTTTGCAAACATCGCTTCGGATACTTAGAAATAATCCACGGGGTGGATGTTCCATGGGTCACTTAAGCTTTCCCCCTTCTCCTGGACATTTACACTGCTTCCTGGGGATGACCATTGCAGGACAGAGAAGAAAGAAAGAATGCTGTGCCCTGGCCAGGTGGCTCGCTTAATTGGAACATCGTCACTCTAAACCAGAAGGTCGCAGGTTCCATTCCCAGTTGAGCCACATTTCTGGATTTCCGTTCAATCCCAGCACATGTGAGGAGCAACCGATTGATGTTTCTCTCCCTCTCTCTCCCTTCCTCTCTCTCTAAAATCAATAAATATGTCCTCAAGTGAGGATTACAAAAAAAAAAAAAAGAAGCCAGCTGCAAGGCACAGCTGGGACGGCCAGCTCTCTGGCACCGTGACCTGGGTCACGAAAGCATGGCGGCTGGTGTCCCTGGCAGATCATAGTCCGAGTTCTCCTGGACGTGAGGACAAATGAACAGCAAAGCGAATCTCACCGGCTTGTCGAAGTGCCGGATGGTTCCGGTCCGGCATGTGGGAGAAACAGTTGCCGGGGTCCAGCCTCGGCGGGTCTCCGGGTCCCGAAGGAGGGATGGCTCAGGCGAAATGAGACACCGGGTGAGGTGCCGGAGGACAGCCAGGCTCTCTGGACCTGACTGAGTCCCCGAGAAAAATCAATCTTTCTTTTTATAGGGGAGGTTATACAACATTCAATGCATAATATGATTATTGAAACAGAAACAGTTACCATAGAAATAACTTCGAAAAGTACAGAAGATTTTACAGATTAATCATGTTAAACAAAGAAATAACCGAAAAGTACAGGAAGTCCCACAGATCAACCATATTAAACAAAGGTTATTTTGACCAAGAGGGTCATTAATCAGATAGCCAACAAAGCCATACGAGCACAAACTTTCAAATGCTGATTATAATTAAATGTCTACTAAATTTCTATAGATTGGTCTAAATCAAAGGGGTACAAGGAGTGATTTAAAAATTAGTTATTGTGGCCCTGGCTGGTGTAGCTCAGTGGATTGAGCGCGGGCTGCAAACCAAAGTGTCGCAGGTTCGAGTCCCAGTCAGGGTACATGCCTGGGTTGCAGGCCATGACCCCCAGCAACCGCACATTAATATTTTTCTCTCTTTCTCCCTCCCTTCTCTCTCTAAAAATAAATAAAATCTTTTTAAAAAGTTATTGTTTATAGAAATTAGATTATCTAAATTAAATAAATGATTTTTTACCTAGATCTATTAACTACATATCTGGGGGGGCATGTTATGTTTCCATGTACTAAGATTATTATATTTAAATCAAAACTTCTTCCTCCTCTGTTTACCTGGTCCCCTCAATAACCGCTCCTGCCCAGGGCATGGGAAAGGCAGTGGTTCTAATAAATCTTGAGCTTTTGAATGGTGACTCCCTAGACACTCCTAGCAACGGCCTCCTCCAGCGTTCTGGCAGTTGGTCTGCCCATAGTTTAGTTTTGTCCTTAACTTCCCAGGTGAGGGAAACAGGCAATATTAGGGTTGCTAAGGGTCTCTATTCTGTGGTCAACAGGTCATTTCGGGCAGAATCAGAGGCATCGTGCAGAGGTTTTTGTTATAAAGCACAGGTGTCCAAAAATCTCACCACCTGATGCTAATAGGGACAGGTGGAAGGGGAAAGATAGACAGGAGACCTGGCCACAGCCGCTTCTGCTGTGCAGACGCGTCTCATCCGTCCCAACTGTGTCAAGGGTTGGTTGTTGGATGGCCTCCAACAGTGTGAGGAACGGGGCTGGGGGAGCAGGGGGGGGGCCCGCTGTGTGGCCCCGGAACCGTTTACAGTTTAAACACATATTGCAACAGCCGTGTTTGAGGTGGCAGCAGGGCCCGTCGCGTGCCTGTTTCCCCCATAATACAAGTCTTTCTGGCCTCCCACCCTTCCCGGAGGGGGCACTGTCCCAGCGCAGCTGGCCATTGGGCAGAGGGTCTAGGGACCCAAGTCCTCTCCCTAGAGCCCAGCAGGGGCGGGCCCCTCAGTTGTGTGAGGATGCAGTGAGCCGGCAAGCAGCTCACCTGCCCGGCAGGGCTGGGAGAGCATTTGGTGGGGGTGCATTCCAGGGGAGCCTGACCTGGGCGGAGGCCACATGCTCTGGGCCCCGCCGAGACTCCTTCCAACTTTGAGGTTCTGTGATTCAACAACACAGCATTCCCTGAAGTCCCACTATGAGCTGGGGGCAGAGAAAACCCCCAGTGATGGAGTGCCTGCTGTGGGCCACAAACACTGGGCTTCCTGTGCAAACTCTCACCTCATGTCAGGACAGACCAATGAGGAAAGAATTGTCACCTCATCTAAGAGAGGGGAACCCCAGGGGCAGCCTAGGTGTCAGGCACCAGGTGGCACCTGGTAGCTGAGGTGAGAGATTCCATGTTAGAGCCAAGGACTTCAGTGTCCCCACCTCTTTGGGCTGGAGGGGGCCAAGCCGGGGGCCAGAGGGCAACAGGCCTTGTTTGTGTGTGTTTGTGGGATCCGAGTTTCTGATAGATGCTAATCACTGCCGGGCCTCCCTGGCTGGAACCGGAGCAGGCACGGGGCCAGGGCCTGCCGCCCTCCGGGCAGGTATAAGAGCCAGAGAGGACCTGGAGTTGGGCCAGCACGGAGGTGCCAGCCACCTGCCGGGACACAGGGTGCAGGGCTGAAGCCGCTGCATTCAGACTGCCAGGTGGGCAGGGTCGGATCTGGAAGCAGCCCCTCTCTGGGAGATCCGGGAGACACGCTAAGAAAACCATCGGGCTGCGGAGGCTGGAGGAGGTCACCAGAAGCTCCGGTGGGCAGGGTGAGTACATTTCCATGATTTCCGCCTTTCCCCACAGGCTCCTCACCCTTGCCAAGGGCCAAGTGACTATCTGTCCCAGAGGTGCCCAGGTGGAGACTGAGTGGCCACTTGTCCGGAATTTGAGCCCTGGATGTCTCAAAGAGGCTGTGTGTGCGTGTGTGTGTGTGTGTGTGTGTGTGTGTGTGTGTGTGATGGTGTCGGGTAGCAAAAGCACTGTCATTTATCCTGTGCTCACCAAACACCAGGCACTGTGGGGACAGACAGACAGATAGAGGCCTGGCTTAGCCTCCTAGTTCTTGAGGCATTTTCTTACAACAGCCCTATGAGGTAGGCATTTTACAGATGAGAAGACTTGAGCACAGAGATGTCAAGGAACTTGCCTACAGACACACAGCAAGTAAGTGGCAGAACCAGGATTTGAACACCCTGACTCCAGAGCCCATGCTCTTAACCTCCATGTTATACTATCACGTGGCTGTGGCAGTTTCCTTACCTGTAGTTTGAGGGTATGAGATGGCACCCTGAGATTCCCTAAAGGTACCTGGACGCGGTCAGCTTCAAGTACCAGGAAACCTTTTTGGAAACGTTTGCCAAGAACTATGTGTATGTCCTTTGATCCAGCATTCAACTTTTGAACTTTATCATGAAGGACTTAATTAGATTTATGAATAAGGAAGTTCATTGCCATTTTGCTTATGATCACAGAAAATTAGGAGCCAACAGAATTTGAGGGACTAAATAATGTACATCCTATGACAAAATAATAAGCAGCCATTAAAAATCACGTGTCCTTGGGAAATTCTCATTTGTTACATGGAAAAAGCACTTTATAAAACTATACATGGTATGATCTATTGATAAACACGTGTACACACATATTTAGGAAATAAATATAGAAGACTGGACAAATACCCTTAGGAGTCGAGAGTTTCTCTCTGAGAGATGGAATTGTAAATGTTTTTATTTTTTTCTTTATTAAGTTCTAGATTCCTCAAATGTCAGCACAGAGGTACCACTTTTCTTTTTAAAGATTTTATTTATTTATTTTTAGAGAGGGAAGAGGGGAGAAAGAGAGAGAGAGAAATATCAATGTGCAGTTGCTGGGGGTCGTGGCCTGCAACCCAGGCATGTGCCCTGACTGGGAATCGAACCTGCGATGCTTTGGTTCGCAGCCCGCGCTCAATCCACTGAGCTACGCCAGCCAGGGTTTGAGGCAGCACTTTTTTCATTAGAAAAATGAAGGGGATTTGTCTTTGCTTTTTTAAAGTCGGATCCTTGGTCTAGGGCGACCCTTCTCAAGCTCCCGTCGCTGTTCACTGATTGGCTCCGAGAGGGATGGCGCTGCAGACTGTGGGTGCTGCGGGGCCTCTGAGATGACGTGGTCCAACGTGTTACACGGGGGGAAGCCGAGGTCCGGGGGTGCAGGGGACTTAGCCAAAACTCATACAGGGAACCAGAGTCTCTAGGCCAGGCTGCTAGCAGGGCGAGGAGGTAGAAGGGAATCACACCTAGAACTGCCCGTGTGTGGCTGACGTGCAAGTGAGGCCTCGAATGCCAAGTATCGCTGACCTCACAGACACACCCGGGACAACTCCAGCTGGGAGTGACAGGTGAGAGTGAACAAAGGGCAGCCGGGTGGGCGTGGACCCGGCCAGGTGAGCCCCAGACTTCACCTTTCGTCTGGAAGCCTTGCCCAGCGGCGCTTCCTCCCCTGGTAGGACGGCGGCCCCTCACTGCCCGCGTGTGGCTGGATCCAGGCAGGAGAATGAAAGGTCTTCGCTGGCGTTACACCCGGCTGGTAAGGGGCCGGGCCTGGGCTGGGGTTGGGCCAGGAAAGGTACGGGGAGGCCAGCCCTCCGGCAGGGTGGGGCCTGAGCTAGGGGTGAATGCCGGCAGGTGACGTGTTCCTCCTGCCAGCCCAGCTGGCCCGCGGTTCGGAGCATGGACTCAGGAGCAGGGGGACTCAGCTGGCCGCCCCATGGCCCTGAGACCCCGGGGAGCACAGACTGCCATTCCGTGCCCTCCTCCCTGGAGGGGGTGCCAGGTGGAGCTCTGCCCGGAAGCCCCACGCAGCAGGACCCCTCCTTAGGCCTGTACCCGGGGGAGGGAACACGATGTCCTGTTCATCTCTCATCCGTGAGGTCCCTCCTGCCTGCGAAAAGCCCTGAGGTCACTGCACGCACACACACACATGCATGCTCACACACTGGTACAGAGAGGAAGCTCACGTGAAGGAATGAATGAATACACTTGCATACATGCCCACTGACTCACATCCATGTTTATACAGTCCCAACTCACACTCACAAACACATTGAGAGGTAAACACACAGCTACACTCAACACCGGTGTTCTCACACCCATGTGCCTATACAACTCTAGTTTAAGCCAATGCACACACTCACACGGACGAGTGCACATTTTACACAAACCTGCACACACTTCGCCTACAACGACATGCATGATCGTTTCACTGGCTGACAGGGAAGCCCTGGGGGCTCATTTTTTTCCTTTATACAATCAGGATAATAAGAAGCACGTTCTTGGGATTCCTGGGGAAATTCGGAGAGAACACGCACAGCAAACACTGCACACGGGCCTGGTCCAGGGTGTGCCGGTCAGTGTCGGCTGCTCTGGTTATCACTGTTGTTCTCGTCCCGGCTGTTATTCCATGCACAATCCTGCAGAGCTGGGCTGCCACCTGCCCCCTCTCCTGCCCTCAAACTGAGAGCTGGGTCCCTGGCACTCACCCTGCATCCAGAGCAGACAGACAGACAAACCACAGGGCCCGTGGCCACATCTGATGGGCGTGTGGGTTCTAACCTTCAGCTCGCCGGTGCCAGGGAGGAAGCCGGCTGGAGGCGGGGCCAGGTCTTGTCTGTGGGGGACACTCCCCAGACTCCTCTGGATGGGCTGGTGGTCGTGGGGGCCTGGGTTGGGTGGGTGCTGAGGCTCTCAGGCCAGGGAGGTGTGGGAGCTGCTGTCTCCTGTCCCTGGACCCTCCATGCCTCTTTGTGTCTTCGCAGCCCAGCCAGGTGGAGGACACTCCGTCTGGAGAGGGGGGTGAGGAACAGGAAGAGGAAGAGGAAGAGGAGAAGGAGGCAGCCCCAGCCCCAGCTCCGGAGGACCCTGTGGAGCCCCAGCTGACAGAAGCCAGCCAGGTCCTGGGAGCCTCCCAGATGAGGCAGGTTCGGCCGGGTCGATGGTGCAGGATTTCAGCCCTGAGACTGAGGGTCCTGCCCTCCCGCCCTCCTCTGCCCAGCCAGGCCTCCTGGGGCCACTCCTGCTCTGAGCCCACTTCACTGGGTCATTGTGGGCAGGTCCTTTCTCCCCTGGGCTTTCCTTTCCCACTTGTCAAATGCTCCAGTAACACCAGTGTCACCCTCTTTGCTGGGCCAGGAGGTCAGGATACACTGAAATAGGCTGATTTTTAAACAGAACCAGCCTTTGGGAACTGAAGCCAAAGTTGGAGCAGGGGTAGGAGGATGAGGGTTGGGGGGGGGCCAGATTAGAGGGATTCAGGGTCTCATCTGGCCACTAGGGGCCAGGGTGACTAAGGGGACGGAGTCCTGGGAGAGACCTGACGTGGGTTCAAATCTCGGCTCTGCCACTTGCTCCCCATGGGGGCTTCAGGCAAGTCACTTCGCCTCCCCGAGCCTCAGTTCCTTCACCGCAACAGAAGCCCTCTCTCCGAGGGCTACTTCTAACAGATGTGACAGTCCCCGGGAAACAGGAAACCCCTCGACAACCTGTAAAGTGGCCTGTCTGTGTGAGTGGCGGCTGTCCAACCTCAGTGCCCCAGGACCCCAAGGGTACAGGGCAAGGAGGCTGGGAGGACGAGGGCCCCCCACTCACTGTCACACCTGTCCCCAGCTCAGCCTCCACCTCCCCCCGAGCGTCACCGGACACACCTGGAGTCTGGCCTTCTGCACAGCAAGGGACGGTTTCAGTCTGCGGAGCCTGTACAGGCAGATGGAGGGCCACAGTGGGCCGGTGCTGCTGGTGCTGAAGGACCAGGACGGGCAGGTGAGCTGCGGGGGAGTGCGAAGGGGAGGGGTGTGTGCTGACAGGCGCATCGGGGTCGGGGTGGGCGGGGGTCTCTCCACCCTCCCGCTCCACCCCAGGCTCCCCGGCTGTCCCCCTAGGGTGAGCCTGTCTCACCAACCCTGGACAGGGGGGTTTCCAGAGGACCACCAAGTCCCTTCCAGCTGCAAACTGCACGCTCTTCTGCTTTCCAGATGTTTGGGGCCTTCTCCTCCTCAGCGTTTCAACTCAGCAAAGGCTTCTACGGTACTGGCGAGACGTTCCTCTTCTCCTTCTCCTCACAGCTGAAGGTGATGTTCCATCCTGGCAGGGGGGAGTGGAGCCGGTGGCAGGACAAAGATCCCGGGGTCCCAGGGGCCCCCAGCTCCACCCCCGTGCTGGGGTGTGTGGTGTCCTTCATCTTTTCACAGAGGGAAGCAGGAGGGCAGTGGCAGGCAAAGCAGCCCCCTTGGCCTGCCTATCTTTGTTTAAAAAAAAAAAAAAAGGTTGCCCTGGCCAATGTGACTCAGTTGGTTGGAGTGCTGTCCCGTACACCAAAAGGTGGCGGGTTTGGTTCCCGTTCAGGGCACATGCCTGGGTTGCAGGTTTGGTCCCCAGTTGGGGTGCAGACGAGAGGCAACCGATTGATCTTTCTCCTCCTCTCTCCCTCCCTTTCTCTCTCTCTAAAATCAATAAGCTTATCCTCAGGTGAGGATAAAGAAAAAATGCCCAGCAGGCCCTTGGCCACCACTTACTGGCTCTGAGAGGAGGGGTCTGTTGCTCACCAGATACAGGCTGGGAAGGCAGGATTGGTCCAAGCTGGGTCCCTGGGCGTGGGGGCAGGAAGGTGAGGGCAGACGTGTCCAATGGCTGCAGCTCTCGCACGAAGGACGGGTAAGGTCACCGCTGTGACTGAGGTGGAGGAGAGCGTGTGAAGGTTGAGGGGAGACGAGGCATGAGGTAGAGGTCGCAGGAGTGGAAAGGGAGAAAAAGAGAGGGACGGAAGGCCAGCCAGGCAGTGTTGTTAGAGGTTAGAGAGCGAATAATGTGAAGGCAAGCCAGTCGCTTCGGTGTGGACCTTCCTCGGCAACGTCCAGGGCTCCAGGCTCCCGCAAGGGTGTGTGTGTGGAGGGGCGGGGAGTGGGGGGAGGGTTCATCCCTGACTGGGGCTTTGCCCAGCTGGTTTACCGGAGGGAGAGAGGGTGAAGGAAGGCGAAGGGACACAGAGGGAGGAGGAATACGTAGTTCTGGGTGCTTTGTCTTGTGATTAGAGAGCTCCTCTCCGATGCACAGAACAAGACACCCACAGACACATCCAGCTACATGAGCATCTGGCCTCGTGAGGACGAGCTCTCCCTGCTACAGGCAGATGCCCGCACCCACTGCATTGCCTCCCTGGACTATCCTGGGAACCTTACCAGCAAAGAGAAAAAGGGTCAGCTGTTCATAGCAAACCCATGCTGGATGCTAGTCACCCCCTTGCCTTCTAGGGCTCACACGCTAGAAATCTGAAGTTCTAGAGTTTTCTTTCCTCTTACTGAACTGGTTACTCCTTGGCAGAATCCTTTGCTGGCTCCTCCTCACCTTCCCCAAACTTTTAACGTCACGATGCCCTAGAGCTCAGTTTTGGGCTCTCGTCTCCTGTCTGGCTGCCCACTTTCCCTTCAAGGTCTTGTCCACTCTCACGGTCTTCTGTGCGACCCACGTGCTGACGGCCTCTCCTCCTGGGCTGCCAACTCCCACACACCCAACCACTACTCGGCGTCTCAAACACAGCACTGCACACCTCGCGTGTCCGAAGCTGAGCTCCTGACTCCCCTCCCCCCACAAAATAGCTCCTCCTGCCATCTTCCCCAACAAAGTGAATGGGCACCCCCATCTTGCCTGCTGCTGAGGCCAAACTTCTGGAGTCCTTCTTAACATCTCCTTCTTTGACACCCACCCCTGAGCTGTCCGTGACCCCTGACTGCCCTGCCTTCCCCATCCACATGCGGCACCCATCTCTTTCCCCACGTCCCTGTCGTCATCCTGGGTCGAGCCACCGCCACTACTTGCCTGGGCCTTTGCTCTTGCCTCCTCACGCTCCCACCTCCAGTCGTCACAGTAGATGAAGTGATCCCTTTAGAGGGTAAGTCGGAGCACGTCACTCCTCGGCTCCACGCTGCCAATGGCTTCCTTCCTCCTCCCCTCGGAGAAAAGCCAAAATCTTTACAAGAACCTCCAAGGGCCTCCATCTTTTGGGCTCTCTCTGTTGTTTTTTCTCGCTACTTTCCCTCCCCCTCACTCTGCTCTAGCCACGCTGGCCTCTGAGCTGGTCCCTAAACATGCAGGCCCGCTCCTGCCTCAGGGCCTTTGCACACGGAGCCCGGCTGCCCCCCACTGCATCTCCACAGAGCTCGGCTCTCTCGTCCTCCTCGCTCTGCTCAGTCGTCACCCCCTCCGGGAGGCCCGCCCTGACCACCCGACTTCACCGCAGAATACTCCACCCTCATGGCCCTTCTCTCCTTTTTTCTCCCAGGCATTTGCCACCACCTAACACACTAATTATTTTACTTACGGATTTGCCTCCTCTCACTAGAATGGGAGTCCTATGAGGCAGGCGTTTTTATTTGTTATGGCCGCCATTCTACCCATTACTTAAAACAGTGCCTGGTGCCAAATGCTTAAAAAAAAAAGATTTTTTTAGGCTTCTTGTCTGTCTTGCTAGCCCATTGTTATGGAATCTCATCTTTTTAAAGATTGGTTGATCTTTCCTGTCTTTGAGCTTCTGGCACTTGCCTGTGTTCCTCACGAATTTGTTTATCTTGCTCCTTCAAGTCTGGAGGTCATGTTCCCTGATGAAAGTAGAGGAGGACATGAATGGCTCTGTCTTCTCATGGTCACTTGTAAATATTTTCTTATCTCTTCTGAGCCCAGGCTTATCTTTTATCAGTTTTTTTTTTTTTTGCTAAAAACCCTTTAATTGTTCACAGCATTTTTTTGCAACTAATTTGGGCAATAATATACCATGTTTTTGCGGCCCTGTAGAAATGTTTCTATTCACTAAATTAACTTTTGAATAATTTATTTGTTGAACAAACATCAGTACCACATCTCAGGAATACTGTCGGGGGAAAAGACAGCCCTCACAGAGGTTACATATTAGGGGACAGGCCACGACACTGTGGCACACAAACCAGGCCATCTCAGCAAGTAAGGAAAAATGGTTTTGGAGGAAGGGCTACTTAGGTAGTATGGTCCAGGAAATTTTTCTGGGATGACACGTGGGCTGAAAGAGAACTGGGCCATCTGCGGATCTGCGAGAAGAGCATCCGGGCAGAGGATGCACCCGGGCAGTCGGGGAGCAGGTCCTAAGACAAAAATAGCTTTGGGTGTCGCTGAAGTGCGGTCAGTAGGGAAGAGATCAGAGAGAGGAGGACTTGGATTTTATTCCGATTGCAGTGGGAAGCCACTGGAGGGCTTTAGGCAGAGGGACGACAATCTCCTACTCGATTCTGCACGGATGGAGCACTCGGGTTGCGGTGCAGAGGCGAGACAGTGGAGGAGGTGGTCCAGCAGGAAGTGACTTGGTGTGCCTGGGGTGGGCAAGAGGGAATGGAGATGGATGGCACAGGAGTGGTGGTCGTTAGGGGGTCTCTTTGGGGTGGGACCTGCACGACCTGCCGAGGAACTGGGTGTGAGGCGGCACTGGGGGATGGGCCGGCTTGGTGTTGCGGCCAGTGAGAGAAGAGGGGACCGTTTGTTGGGAGAATCAGGGCCCAACTTCTGACCCGGACTTTCCCCCTCCTCTCTCCAGCTTTGGAAGCAGAAGCCCCAGCGGGTCCTGTTCTATCCCTAGAACAGACGCGCTGAGGCGACTTAGTCTGGAGAGCAAGGGCGGGGGAGCTGGCAGGGGTGGGTGGGGGTAGCGGGTGGTGAACTCCGGAGACTGGCAAGAAACCGCAAGCGCCAGGAGCCCAGAGTACTTCCGGCTGCGTCAGGGCCTGGATGTTCCATTCCCTTCATGATACCGCCACCCAGTGGTGTGGAGTGAAACTGCAGGACAGTAACCAGGTGTTTTTGTCTCATACCAGGTCTTTAAGTGGACGGGAAGCAACTCCTTCTTTGTGAAAGGAGACGTGGACTCACTGATGATGGGCAGTGGCAGGTGCGTGCCTCAGTCCTCCCTGAGTCTTGTGGTGGCCTGTGCTCTGGTCCCTTCTGCCCCAGATAAAATGGGAGGCTGGTGCCCCCCACCCCCCAAGTCAACACTGAGGGGGAAGCATGCCACGGGCTCTCCCTCTGAGTGCTCACAGTCAGTGACAGCCTAGTCCGAATTTGTGTAACTTCGGGAGACCCTTCCACACGGCTGGGTGAGGCTGGCCTCAAGTTTACCCGTCAGCGCCGCAATCCTGGGGGACGTAGCTCACTGGAGCCTGCCCGGGGACCCCGCCTGAGTGTGCGTGTGTGTTGGGGGGTGGGAGGTGGAGTGGGTCGGGCAGAAAAGGGTAGTCTCGCCCCTGGAGTGGCCTGCAAATTCAGGCAGAATCACTCTTCCCCTGAGGGTAAAGATGGCAGCCCTGTTTGATCAGTGCCAGGCCAGGTCTGTGCTCCTCCAGCCTACAGAGAGGCAGCTGGGCCCGGAACACACCGCCATGGCTGACTGGCAGTAACTCGCTTCCAGCTCCGCCCAGGTTTGCTGTCGGATGAGGGAATTAAAGCGGATGCTCTCTGGAAGCATCCTGGGCTCAGCGTCCACGCCTGTGAGGTTCACTCCTTTGGTGATGCTTTGCCATCTTAAATACATTCCAAATGTTTTACATTCACAAATGATGAGGGTTGCCCCCCTGTATACATTTATTAAAATCAATGAACTCTAAAAAAAAATACTCTAAACCCTGTGGGGAACAATGTGTGGAGTCCCCAACAATTCAGGGTCGATCGGTGTAAGGGACACTGAGACACAGGCTGTGGCCATGGTGCGGACGAGGGCTGCTGGTGTGGATCTGAAGGGTCCTGGCACCCGGGAAACAGCTGGGCTGACACTTTCCTCTTCCCTTCAGTGGCGAGTTTGGGCTGTGGCTGGACGGAGACCTGTATCACGGGGAAAGCCACCCCTGCGCGACCTTCAACAACGAGGTGCTGGCCCGGCGGGAGCAGTTCTGCATCCAGGAACTGGAGGCCTGGGTTCTGAGCTGAGGGCGCCGTGGCGGGCAGCTTCCAGAGGCAGCAGGCGCTCCGACCTGCTCACGGATGCCGCCTAGGCCTCCCACACAGGGCAGCCCCCTGCATCCCAAACACAGATGGCGAGGGGTCCCAGTGGCTGACTGTGACTGCGGGCCAGCCCCCAGTGGCCTGGGGACAGGCACGGGGCAGGAGCTGCTCTCCTGGAGAGGAGACTAAAGGAGGGAACAGTGTTTACTCACCTGAGCAGTGCGGAGTTCCTCGGAATTCTCTTCTAAAAAATTATGCAACTGATACTTGTTCAGTGTAGAAAACAAGAGAATACATTAAAAAAATTAAAGTTGCCTAAAATTTAACCACCCTGCAAGACACTAACATTTTCATGTATATCCTTCCAGACAACCTTCCATAGATAGATGCATATCTTACAAAAATGGAATTCTACTGTGTATGTTTGCGAAATTATTTTTAACTGAAAGACTCTGGTCAAGCCGCGGACACCTGGGCTCAACCAGTGACACGAATAAAGACTCCAGTTGTGTCATTCTTCTTCTGGGACAGCGAAGGCTTTCTGTCTGCCGCCAGTGTGCCAGGCACTCACGAGAGGAAGACATGGAAGTGGCACATGAGTAACATGCATATTTGGTAAAGAAGCTAAAACTCTGCAGATGGGAACCTCAGGAGGCTAAAACATTGGGAGGATATGCCTGGGGCCCAACGGGAGCTCAGAAAACTAAGAAAAAAGCCCATCTCCCTTCCCACGCTTGCACCGACCTCCTGCCAGAAGGCAAACGTTCTTCATTATGCTACTCGCTCGCCATTATCCAATGAGAAAAACCAAGTAAGACAGGACCCGTTAAATACCATCCCCTCTCTTACAGACCCGACATAGCACTGAGGTACTAAGAACTCTGAGTAGGTTTCTAGACCCATTTCCTTGGCACAAAAGGGTCAAAACCGGGCACACAGTGTGAGACAGTCATTAAGGAAGAGACACCTTTGGCATCGAGATGGAGATATATTATGAAGCTTTATTGTAGGTATTTCCCTCACCCAAATTAGGTAACCACTTACTTCCACTCAGCTCTTTTTACAGTTTCACGGTGATAACATACGGTTGCTCTGTTAAAGGTTCCATTTTTATGCCAACAGTGGAGATGTTTCTTAAGATAAATCTAACGTTGTAAATGACATAGTTCTCATCATTCAAGCGGTTGTAAATAGCGTAAAGTGCAGTTGCTTTAGACCAACAGATTCAAGTTGTTTTTCAGCATGAGGATACAGTATGGGGACCACACAATTACAAAGTAAACCACAGTGATTTCAAGGTAGGGGTTGCAGAAATAAAACACTCTCAGCAGAAAAACATTACATCATGACATTCTTGACCGTCGGTCTGGGTTCGTGAAGTCTGAGGCCAACAGTTCTCCCGGGTGAATGTTTCAGAGGCATTTTGGCCAAAAGAGCGGTGCCCCAGTATCACAGCTGCCCTCACCTGTGCGTCCTGAGCCCCCACGTGAACATGTCCCCACCAACAAGGCATCACGCGGGAGTGACAGAAGGGTTTAGCGATTTTCCTAAAACCTTGATGGCCTACTGACAGACGGAGGAGGGGGCGGAGCCAATACAGAATGGCAGGCATTCCAAATACATTTCACCCCAGTGTCCCCAGAGCAGAGCCCCCTTACACAGAGGGAGGGGCAGCACTCCCGAGTAGGACAATCCGTCAGCCTGGGGTCTGAGTTCCTCCCTTCCTCTACTCACTCTTGCCCAGAGCCCGGGCGGGCTCCCCACTCGCACCTGCCACTGGGAGCATCCAAGCACAGGTTAGGCACTCGCACCCCCATTCCTCCTTCTTCGCGGCCAAGCATCTTCTGGGCCCTCTGGCCTCCGCTGGCTTTGGCTCTAACTCGGACTTTGCCCTCCCTGAATGCTGTAGGACTGGCAGTGCGTGTGGGGTGGGGGCAGGGCTCAGCACAGGGGCGCGGCTCCACCGCAGGCGTGCTCACTCCACCACTGGAGGTAAACAAGTTCATGGGCAAAGGGGAACCTGGAATTCACTGGGTAATCATTCATGTCAGCACGGGCAGCTCAGTCTTTGCTCTGAAACCATAAGATGCCCTGAACCAGCACAAACAAAACCCCGGCTCTAAGCAGCCCTGAGGAGGGTCCTGTGAGGGCCTCTGCTCAGCTCACAAGGAGGCGCAGGGAGCAGGTCGGAGGGAGCCCCCTTCTGGAGGCGGGGCCTCGCGGGTCCCGGAGAGAAGGAAACTAACTACCCGGGTCTGGAGCCACGGCCGACTCGGAGAACAGCCTGGTTTGGGGGAGGCTCTCTGCCACTGAGGGTAAGGTCTCCCAAAAGGTATTGTATGTCCCAGTGCACAGGCCAAATCCCTCAGGTATTTTCAGTAGCTTAATAAGGCTTCTCACCGAAGAGTTGGAGCCTGCTCCTGGCTCTCACCTCCCGCTGTCCACCCCAGCTCGGCTGAGAGAGTGAGGGCGGGTGTCCTTCGCTGCTGTTTCCGACACGAGGGTGAGGGTGAGCCGGCTCCAGGGCGCTGCCTCCCTGGGGGCCAGGACTCCTCCGTGTGCGCTTGGTAACCGCCGCTGCTCCTGCCGATCCCAACTTCCAAGTCCAATGCGTGCCCTCATACCGTTTCCAGTTTTGTTTTTTAAAAAACAATCATGTCACAAAAGTTCAGAGTATATAAAAGAATTGTTATGCTAAGAAAATATAAACCAGTAAAAGAGGAAGCCTTTAATTAATTAATACTAAAAATAGGCGAGGTAACGCTTTTCATAGCATGTAGCATGTATAGCAAGAGCTGCCGAATACCTTTCTGTTTCTTTGAATAAAAATTGCTTAACTTCAGCATAGGTGTACATTCAAAATACAAAATAAAAAGCACTTATTGTCACTAAGTTTGTATGAATCTGCGATCAAATTCCCTCAGTGAATTCATTGTGCTGGAGTGAGGGGTTTATGGAAACAAATTACCACGGATGGCCCGGCCCCGGGCTCTGTCTGTGTCAGGAGGTGTACATGGGGAATTCCCCACTTTCAGAGGTGTCATAAAATCGCCTTCCTGTCAAGGAGAAAAAAAGAAAAACTAGCAACCGAGAAAAGCCAGTTTTCATAATTTCAGGGCAAGTGTCGGATACGCAAGTCATCTCACAGCTTGACGGCTTCTAGTCCTACTCCCTCCGGGGAAACCCCAGATTATACACTGTCCCGTGCTCGGGTCAGATGGGCAACACCGCGGCCCTAAGCAGGTGAGGAGCAAGAGCCGCCAGGTCTATGCTCTTCAGGGACGGCCAGAAGCGGCATGCCGCCCGGGTCCACGGCCCTCGCCCTTCACACACCTTCACAGAACGGAAACTCTGTCCTGTCTTTCCAGAACGAGGGGCTTCACTGGACCCCTGCCTCTGCCTTGCCTGGTCCGCTCCACAACGCATGGTCCTGGTCTACAAGCGGGCAGAAAGAGGGGAAGGACGGCATGTCCCTACAGAGCTTGGACTTTTCTCGGCAAAGCTGTATCTTGGCTCACCAGCAGAGACTCCACCCAAGTGGAGACTCCACTCCATTCACTTTGAGAATGGCCTCAAAGAGAAGCCAGGCGCTTGAACAACCGACTCTCTCCCAAACCGCTCGCTCTCGAATCTGTGGACGGGTTCTTTTAGGTTGGTTACATGAGGGCACAGGACCCTTGAGAGCCTTTATCGCACTAGGAATGTGGGGTCTGGGGCACAGCACTGCGCTCACCGGCCAGTGCGCTCTCCGACCCACCCGTTGCCCTTCCTCCGCTCGTGACCTCCATTTGCCAGCTCCTGACCTGCTGGCTTCCAGCAGGTTGGCCTAGTGGGAGGCCCTGGGGGAAGACTGGGAAAGAGGAGGGCAGAGAAGCCTGGGCATTGCCTCCTGCCCCTGAACCCTCTGGCTCAGGCAGCAGCGACTGACTCTTCCGTGGCCCTAGCTTCTGCAGGCGAGCCCAGCACCTGGGCTCCCACCTCCTACCTTAGAGGTGGTCGCAGGTTCCTGCTGTTGTCTCAACCTTTCCGTTTACCTGTTCAATTCTGCCAAACATTTTGTATATTGGCCCCTATATTAAAATTCCTTCACCTGCATTACACCGGATCTGACTTGGTAGAGTTAGAGAAGGCAGCCACTCGACGCCCTGATATCTGGGAGATCTGCCCGTCTCAAAGCCAGCACTATTTGCCTTCAAATCCATCTCTGCATCTACCAAATGCCCTTATTGCTACCGTTCTGATGCCCACTCTAGTGAAGCTTATAAATGCAGAGACCTGAACATGTCATCTCCTGCTGAAGGCACTTCCCCTGCTCGAGGGTTCCAGGGCTTCGCACACTGCCCAAGACCCCTCCCCTAAACGCACCATGCTCTCTCTCATCTTCAGGCCCCCCTCCCCACCTCTCACCCACCCTTCGGGTCTCAGCTTCTACATCCTTCTTTAACTAAGCTTTTTCCAACCGACCAAGCCTGGTTTAAAAGTTCCTCCTTTATGCCCTGGCTGGTGTGGCTCAGTGCATTGAGCTCGGGCTGCGAACCAAAGCATCGCAGGTTCGATTCCTGGTCGGGGCACGTGCCTGGGTTGCGGGCCATGGCCCCCAGCAACCGCACATTGATGTTTTTCTCTCTCTCTCTCCCTTCCCTCTCTAGAAATAAATAAATAAAATCTTTAAAAAAAAAGTTCCTCCTTTATGTCCTCTAAGACTCTGAACATGCCGCCCCCACGCCGAAGCACTTACCATGTCGCTGTACTCGTGATTTACTTGTGTGTCTGCCCCCAGCTGGAGTGAGGTCTGCGGGAGCGACGTCTGCCTCAGGAGCCGTCCCACCCCCCTGCTCCCTAACCCAGGGCCAGGCAGAGGGGCTCACTCAGCGAGTGACTGTGTCTAGATTTAAGGCAGTTATTGCCACGAGGGCTGAACTTCACTGGTCTCTTGCCTCCCTGCTTCCAGTCCCTCCAAGTTCCAATCCACCTGCCGCTAGAGTTTTCTTCCTTAGTCAGTGATTTGGTTTCCCTGGGTGCTACAGTACTGAAGACAGAAGAAGATGTCCTTCCTTATTCCCACGGGTCTCGCTCCAGCTAGACAAGACCCGCACAGAAGTAAGTAACGACGACAGCCACACACTAAAGCCTTGGACACTCTTGATGATTCCCGCCCGACTGCACATAAGAAAACAAACCTTCTTTGTTAGCTGATCACCCGGGGTTCTCCACAATCTAGTCCACTCTTCCCACGGAGCTTCTCCCCACTCCAAAGTCAGAATTTCCCACTCCAGTCGGCAGGCGTCTTCCCGGTCCTCCCAGACCCGCTCAGCCTGCTCCACTTCCGTGCCTTCGTGCTGCTCCGCCGTCAGGCGTGTCCGCCTTTCTCCACTCCTCCCCCGGACACCGCTGGCCATCTGGACCGCATAGGACGGCCCCTCCTTCAGGAGGCTTCGCTGCCTGTTCTCCCAGCTCTGAGTGCTGACTGGACTCACCTGGACCACCCCACCTGGCACTGGATAAAGAACTAATGTACTGAGCTACTCTTTCATGTCTGACCTTTCATTTTGGTTCCTTTAGGGTCCAACATGGGGAGGGAAAAGGCAGCTATGAGGTTGTGAGAGGGAGTCCCAGACTAGGAAGTGAAATGCTGTCTCCCACCTGCCTGCTGATTACGTGCATCTGGTCGACAAATACCGACTGGTCACCTTCTCCGTGCCAGGCACCTACCATGTGCACAGCAATGAAGGGTAATTTGAACAACGTTCTCTACAGATTGGCAACCATGGCTTGGCTCCACTTCCTCTCCACTCTCTCCTTCTAGAGAATGTCAATTGTGTCCAAGTTCCAGTACACGGAGTTTCAAAGAAAAAGGTAGGAAACTTGTTATCAGTTGAGTATGGACTTCAGCCAGTGAATGCCCCAGTCTGTGTAAGACTCCCTGAAAGATGAGAACTCTGACTCCCTCCCGGCTGCTGAAAGGACTGGATGAACCAACTGGTGAGAACATTATAAAGCACCATTCACATGCTTAGCATTTTAAATTGTATTATTAAGACAACAGTGACCAACAGTGTCCACTCACAACTGGTGGAGGAAGAAAACCCTGCTTCACATAGATTCAGACATTTTAAAAGAAAAAGCTTAAAGTGGAAAAAAATTTTTTCAAGACCATAACCAAATGACTATAATTTTTAAAAAGATTTTATCTATTTTTAGAAAGAGGAGATAGGAGGGAAATATCAGTGTGGTTGCCTCTTGCGCACTCCCTACTGAGGACCTGGCCCACAACCCAGGCATGTGCCCTGACTGGGAGTCAAACCCACAACCCTTGGGTTTGCAGGCTGGTGCTCAATCCACTGACCCACACTGGCCGGGACCAAATGACTATAATTTAAGTGAGAACTTTTCAGAGGGAGGTAAGGATCTTTTTTGGTTTTTACTTAAATAATAAAACTTTTGCAAAGTAAGTGAATAATAAGCCACCCACCTTTGGCTTGGGGAAATCTCTGTTGTTGCACCATTTTATAAAATGCTGTAGTGCAGCTTGCAGGCTGTCTTGATCCGTCTTCTTACAGTACAGTCGGACGTGCTGCTCTGCGAAGATGTCTGGCAGAAGGCATGAGACCTTTGCAAAGGAGAAAAGATTTCACTGTCACCTGGAGTTCACACATGAAAGAGAGATTGGTTGTTCCTCAGCTCCATTCTTGATTTATAGTAAAAGCACCACGTTGCTTTGTTATTTTATCCTGATTATAATCCAAAGAAAAGAATTCATGGTAGTTTCCACCTTGCAAAATGCCCTATAATTGTATGTTCAGTTAATAAAAGACTAAAGGTTTACATTAGAGAACTGTATGTAGACTACAGACTCTCGTGCAAAAGACAGGCAAACAGACACGTTGAACCAACATGACTTCAGCCATGCAACACTCCCTTCCCCAGAGACTTAGAACCGGCCTTCAACTAAAGACAGTGCTTTTATTTAGATTCCGCAAACAGGGAAAGCGGGCTGTTAAGGTGGTTTGGTTTACGTAAAATCAGGTGCACTTTAATTTTAAAGATAAGCTTATTCTATTTTTTTTTTACCATATGAATTGACTTTAGGACCTTGCCTGCATGTGAAATGCAAACGCACTATAAAGATCTGCCAAAGGCCACTACAGTGTTTTTTTGAACCTTAGTAGTTACCTCATGTTTCGCAATCTTTTCGGCATGGGTGCAGTCAGCCTTAGAATAGAAGTGAGTATGATCCATAGGGTTCTTGTCTTTCATCCCATAGTCCATGTCGACAACCTCAATAAAAGCAAGAAATAAATGATCACGTCAATATTCAGTAACCATGAGAATAGAATTCTGGGTTGTGGGGACATCACGAGAAATAGAGCGAAGCTCTCTGAAGGTTCAGAAGAACACCGGTAAATGGGCTTACAGAGGAACAAAAATGGCCCCTGGCCCACAGGGATCTGGTCTTGAAATATGGGTGCGGGAGATTTGCACTTTCCACATTAGTTGGATATACAGTCAATACCTACCATGTAACAGACACTGTGGTAGGCACTAGAGATATAGTAAGGAAACTCGACCTGATCTTAGCCCCACCACGGACCATAGGGCCTAGACTGAGATTCAACAAACAATTATCCGAGTAATCATTTAACCACATTTGTTATAAGAGCTACCAAGGTAAAGCAAATGGTGCCATGGACGTTTGTAACCGGGAAACCTAGTGGTCTGGAGCTCCTGGGGCAGGACTGGTGAGTCACTAAATGAGCGGGAATTAGCCAGGCCTAGGAAGGAAAGAAGAGAATTCCAGGCGGAAGAAACAGCTCCAGGGCAGAGCGGACTGAAACTGTCTGCTGGGTTTAGTAACACTGGAGTCATCGGTGATCCTGGTAAGAACAATTCTTGTAGAGTGATGGCAACAGAAAAAAAGGTTCGCAAGTAAGTAAGAAATGGAGAAAGACTACTTTTCAGAAGTTTGGCTGTTAAGGAGACAGGAGAGGCATCCAGTTAAGATGGTGGAGCAGGGAAACTGTGCTGGCCTCCTCCCACGGCCGCTTCAAAATTACAGCTAAACCCCAGAGCAACCACTACTGAGAACCACCTGAAGTCCAGCTGAACAGGACTTCTGTAACTAAGAATATACAGAAGAAGCCACATTGAGACTGTATTTTTTTTTAAAAACTGAAGAAAAAAATAATCAAGAAGACACGAGAGAGAAATACTGTACCCAGGAAAGGTTAAGGGAGGGGAGACAGCTAGAGGGTGGTGCTTGTTACCTGCTGAACCCGAGGACAGGCTGTTCACCTGCTGACAGGAAGTCAGGGAGGGGAGAGTCGACTCCACAAGGTTCCACGGGAACAAATAGCTCTACGGCTGCAGAGCCCAACGCGGGAGCCACTAGCCACATACGGATTTTTAAAGTTCAAATCATTAACTTCAGCTTCCACTTCCCCAAAGCGACCAGAGGTGACCTCTGAAGATGGTTTGCTATTCACTTGACCCAGAAAACCCCACAAAATCATGTGCATCAAGAGGTTCAAATCTTCGCGTTTGCTTTTAGAGCACTTGTGAACCTGCCCAGGCCATCAAGGGTATGCCTATTTGAAAAGCCGCCAAGTGCCTGACAGATGTCACTTTACAGAAGCAATGTTTGCCAATCCATCATTGCAACGGTGGAGTTGGTGGGCGTGCCCAGGCCTAACACTGGGGCCAGACACAGGGTCGGTGGCCCAAAAAAAGCGCTGAGTTTTTGCTGCACATGCTTAGAAACGCGGAGAGCACGGCTAAACTTAAGGGTTTAGAGGCAGACTCCCCGGTCACTGAGCACATCCCGGTGAACAAAGCTCCCGAGACGCAGCACAGAGCTTACAGAGCTCACCGGCGGATTCATCCGCACGTGCACTTCCCGCGCCACACGGAGATGATCCTACTGAAAAGAGCAGACAGTTCCCAAACCAGAAGAGGAGGTTGCACAGAAGAAAATGATATCCCAGAAGAAACTGAAGAAACAAAAGCTTATGGCCCGAAAGTAAATTCAGCATAAAATAAATACGAATAAAAGTAAAAGCAGAAAAAGAAACCATTAACATCAAATACAACACAAAATTCACTTCTTCAGTTGCAGTAGCCACATTTCAAATGCTCAGCAGCCAGGTGTGGCTACTGCCTAGCAAAACAGACAGTGCAGAGAAATGGAACGTTCCCATCACCAGAACATTCTGTTGGAGAGCCTCGGTCTAGATCACAGGCAGGATGACTTTCGGTAGGAAGGGAGACGGTTCCCCACTGCGCCAGAGGGAAGGCTGAACACAGCGGCAGAGGGAGTCAGGCTTGCTGATTTGATAGCGTGGGGTGGGGTCCCACCTCACGGCCTACATTTTATCTCTGAAATGGGAGCTGCGGTGGGGTAGTCACTGAGGGTGAATACGGCTGGGGCTGGGGAGCAGTGTTGGAGGTCTGAGAGGAGTGAAGTAGTGTGAAAGTCACAGTGGAGCCTGGAGAACTGCGCTAAGCCTGCTAGGAAAATTCAGAGGGCCCAGCTAAGGCTGGTGACCGTGAGCTGTCAGCCTTCTGCCAGACAGATGCAAAGACAGACCCGGGAGTCGAGGTCAACAGCAGAAAATGACTGGATTAACAGAACACAGAATCTAAGTCAGACGGGAAGAGAAATGAAGACAGAAGCCTGTGGGCGAGCTGGAAGGGAGGAGACAATCAACAGGAGGTGCTCATGAGCTAAGAACAAGCACAAGAGAAAGGGGTTTGTGGGCAGAACAGGAATGCTGACAGAAGTGGCTTTCAGAGGGCCGGTATTTCTGAGTGCCGATAAGGTTCGGAGTGTAACATGCTGAGCGCTGGCTGAGGTCCCTGGGGATGAGCCTGGAGAGATCAGAGTTGGTTGGCCACGTGGACTGGGAAGGATGATGGCAGGAACTGCAGCGGACAGCAAGACTCTTCAACAAGAGGGCAGGAGGTGTTTGAGGGTGTCAGTCTCAGAGGAGCAGGGACTTTGCACAGGGTCTTGGCGTGGGAGGTACTCGGGAACACGAGGTCTGATGAACGGGAAGGTGCCCTAACCCTGAGGAATGTGCTTTTCCTGAACAATCTGCAGGGAAGCCACGTTCTCAGAGGACGGCCAGGCTGCAACCGAGACAGAGCTATTCAGTCAGGAGGCTGACGCGACAGTGGAGTTTGCTGATTACGGAGTGAAAATGCCCAAGGGTTTCACGGACAGGGTTGGGAGAGAGGGAGACTGGAAATGAAATAAGGGGCAGAAACATAGTAACGTGGCAATGACGGTCCAGGAAAGAACCAATGATAGCTTATCCTGGGAGTGGGGACCGAAGAAAACCAGAATGTGAGCTCTGGTGGCTCTACTGCCAGCAGCCTGTGAGAGGCAGGTGCACGTCAGGGACTCAGCTGCGGCGCAGGAGTGACAGCAGGAGTCCGCAGCACACGGCCAGCCCTCCCACTCTGCGTGCCCTGCTGACACTGCACTGGCGGCTGCAGTGAGTGCGCTGCACCCCTTTACTGGGGGGGGCAACTGCGCAGCGCTCCCTGCCACATCATGAGTATATGTTACACATATAAAAATAAAATCATCCCGTATGTACCGCTTTTTCGTTTTTTTTTTAAAGAATTTTATTTATTTATTTTTAGAGAGGGAAGGGAGGGGGAGAGAGAGAGAGGGAAACACCAATTTGCGGTTGCTGGGGGCCGTGGCCTGCAACCCAGGCATGTGCCCTGACTGGGAATTGAACCTGCGATGCTTTGGTTCGCAGCCTAAGCTCAATCCACTGAGCTACGGCAGCCAGGGCTGTACCGCTTTTTCTCACTTATTACAAATACGTTTCCTTGTTAAAAACTTTTTTCCATTTTTATTTTATTAAAAACAACTTTTAATATTTGCATTACTCTACTGTATTTCATATTGAGAGACATATACATTTTTCCTAATTTCACACTATAATAATGACACAATGAATATATTTGGACTTTTTTGCAAAATTGATTATCTCCATAAGAAAAATCCCTAGAATGAAATTGCTGAGTTACTTAAAAGTGACGCTAACTTGGTTTCTAATATCAAGTTACATTCCCATTTTCACATGCCTTTATTATTACAAAGTCTTATACAATTTTTTGTTCTTACAAGTCTGATAGTCAAAAAATCTTTCATCACTGTATCCATTTGCCTTTAAGTTAAAAAGCAGGTCATTCTTTTAATGTCTACTGGCCTTATGTACATCATGTTCTCCTGTGCAAGGACCCTTCAGGAACCTGTGACCCTGTGTCCATTACCAGGGGTGTCCAACCCATGGCCCTTGGGCTGCATGCGGCCCAGGATGGCTGTGAGTGCAGTCCAACACAAAATTGTAAATTTACTTAAAACCTGTTTTTTGCTCATCAGTTTTTGTTAGCGTTTGTGTATTTGATGTGTGGCCCAGAACAACTCCTCTTCTTCCGGTCTGGCCCACAGATGCCAAAAGGTTGGATACCCCTGCTAGGCAATTGTACTTTGAGAGAAGAACCAAAAGGGAAGTCGGGGAGTGACTAGCAGTACTACACTGAGTTGAGGGTGACAGAGCCCCCAGTGATGCACTGAGGGCAAAGGCAGACTCGTGAGAGCCAGGGAAACACTCTGGAGAGTGAAGTCTTTTCGAGTCTCAGGAAGTCAGGATGTGAGACCCCTTTATTCTGGGGCGGAACCTCATCTAGTGAAAGAGGAAGCAGCAGCCTGATCTGCAGGTCAATCTGAGGCGCTTTAACCTGCAGCCAAGTGAACAGAGTGTGGGTCCAGGGGCAGTTCACTCACAAGGCCCCTCGGCAAGCGACGGCTGTGGAGAGACTGCCCTTCACTCAAAGATGTGTCAACAAGGAAATAACAAGTGAGAGCCTTATAAAAAATATATATAGCACAGTCCCAAGATTTCAAAGGAGTAGAACTCTGATTCTTTCTTCTATCTTTCTATATTTTTCAAATTTTCTATAATGCATAATGGGGGCATTTATTCTTTAAAAAACTCTTTACTGAGTATATTATTGGGTGAACTACTTACATCCACGATGATATCTTTGGCCTTCAGTTCGGCTTGTAGGTCCATTTCATCGGGTTTGGACTTAGCAACCTCTCCTGGAAGATTTTTATAGTCTTTCTAGAAAAGACAAGACCCCTCATGTCAGAACTCCAGTTCGTTACCAGTAAGTATTTGTGCCATGAAGAGGTTCTCTCTCTGAAGATGGCACTTCAGCCCCAGGTGACCAGTGGCTACTGGCCGGACAGCACAGTCCTATATAGACCTTCCTCCTTTCAGTCACGATTTCCCATCTCTAACTAAGCTAACAGAAAACAGTGTATTACAAAATGGTGCTATGCAAAGACCCTTTGTGTCTGATTATCCACTAATTTGGGTCCTGCAGGAAACAGGAGAAATGTGCCTATACCATCCTTTCATTGAATCACAATAGAGCGATTTTCATAACAGAACTTCTACATTTTAAAAAATGTGGCACCAGCCTATTCGTAAACAAGAGGAAATAGAGTGTAACCCAAGGAGGCATTAAAAGCAGGGTGTGCTTATCAGCACAGCTCAGGTTACTCACTTGCTGGCAGAGAGTAAAGTCTTCAACAAGCAGGAGAGGAAAACAGATATACAAACTAAAAAATACAAGCATTTGCCCTCTGGGAGAACCTGATAAACTGCGAAAGCAGTTAAGTAGCAGCAGGTCCTTAAGGTTTCAATGAAGCTCACGCAAATATCTTAATTTGAGAGTAAGTGGGACGTGGCTTTGAATCCGGGCTCGGGCTCGCTACCTGGGCTTCCACAGGCATGTAATTTAACCCCTTCCCAAGCCTCGGTTCTTTCCATGTGCAAGACAGACTTAAGAACACTGTATTCATGTAAATGAGATGAAACAAGAATACATGTAAAGAGCTTGGAGCAGAACCATGGAATTGAGCCAGGTTAAAGGTATTCTGCATGGAGGACAGGGGGTCTTTCCCTCCCGGGAAGACACTTGACAACTCAACTTACCCTTTCAAGTCTCTTGTTCTTGTCACTTAGCAGAACCTGACCCACGTACTTGTATAGATGACGGCGTTCAATTTTCTTTAAAATCTCTCGTGCTGCATTCAGTTGGGGATCAGTAGAGTGTAAAATCTCCAGAAAAATGTTATCTGCCAATTTGATGAAAGTTCAGTTATATTAAAATTGAAAAACTATGCAAGATTTATAGACTCATACCTTGCTGTACCTCTGAAGTGATTTCAAGCAGTTTACAAGTGTAGACACACCATGATGATCACACTGTGAAAAAAAATTTTTTTTTTAAGATTGAGGTGATAAACCCTTTGTAAAAACGTTCTAGTCAATGTCTTGGATTGGCTTCAAGGTAATCTAATGAGTGGGAAAGGGTCGACATGAAACAAGACTGAACCAGAGTTGGTGATTTGAGGCTAGGTTGTGGGTATGCAGGGGTATATTAATATTATGGTTGTTCTGTTTTGTTTAAAAAGAATGATGCTTAAGGAATTACAAAATTATGCCTGATAACTGCTTCAGAATGGCTCAGCATATCATGGGAGTGAGGGATGAGGCAAAATTCGTATGTGTTGATAATTGTTAAAGTGGAGTGATGTGAATTTCTTTTTTTAAAGTTCTATTCCTTGATGACAGTAGGAGGTAGTTTGTTTTTCCTCCAACTTTTTACTTCAAAAAACTTCAAAATAAAATACCTTTCCCCTAAATCCATCAACTGTTAACCTTTTTCCCACACATGCACACTGTCTCCGTGTGCGCGCGTGGGTGCACACAGGTTTTTGAAGGAAACATCTGAAAAGTGCAGACATCAAAACCCTGCACTCCCAAATATGTCAGCACGTGTCTCCCAAGATCAAGAACGTTCTCCTACGTAACTATAATCCTGCCAAAAAACTTGACACTGATATGCAAATGTCAAAATTACAGTATATATCCAAATTTGCTCAACTGTTCCAATAATGTAACTTATGGATTTTTGTTGCTGGGAAGAGAAACCAGTCAGTGCCATGGATGACATCAGTGGCCATGTTTTTTCAGTCTCCTTTAATCTAGAACTAGAGTAGTTCCCCTGGCTTCTCATTTTTCATGATGTGGACATTTTGGAAAAGTTCAGGCAATCCTTCTGTAAAGTGCCCCACACTTTGAACTTGTCCAGTTGTTTCTTCGCCATTAGATTCAGGTTAAACACTGTTGTCAGGGACACTGTATTAGGAATGTGCTGGGCTCGATGTATCACATCAGGAGTCAGCTACGAGCTTTGTCACCATTATTGGTTATGTTAAGCTCCAGACACTGGTTAAGGCAATAATTCTCAGCTTTCTCCATTATAAATGTATTTTCCCTTGTAATTAAATAATCTATAGGATGATATTTGAGACTGTAAGATTTTTCTAATAAGTTTTCAAACAATGGGTTAGCACTCATTAGTATTCCCTGACAGGATCCATTATTACATTTAACAAAATGAGTTTTATTAAACTGCCTTTTGTTTTAAATAAAATCGTAAAAGAAAAAAAAAAGCCCTGGCTGGTGTGGCTTGGTGGCTTGAACACCGGCTTGTGAACCAAGGGGTCGCTGGTTCGATTCCCAGTCAGGGCACATGCCTGGGTTGTGGGCCAGGTCCCCACTTGGGGACAGGTAAGAGGTGACCTATTGATGTTTCTCTTGCACATCGATGTCTCTCTCCCTCACTTCCCCAATCTCTGAAAATAAATAAAATCTTAAACAAAAAAATACTTAGAAAAGAAGGAAGTTTTAAGTAGATGATCTCTAAGGTCCTTTTAAATTAAACATTCTATGATTCCAGTTTAATTTAAGAGATGTGAGGGTGGGAGCTTGCAGGAGAAGGGAGAAAAGGGGAAGGCCCACCTATTGCTTAGGAATATCAAGGGATAAAGACCAACGTAAGAAAATGGTCACCTAAGACAGTGGTCTTAACATTTGCAATGCTTAAAATAGCCACATCCAGATAAGCTGAAACATTCATCAGAAATAAGAATTCAGGAAGCAGAGAGAGAACAGATAAACCAACTGTGGCACATTCATATGATGGCTGTTACTCAGCAAATAAAAAGGAGTACAATATGGATGAATCTCAAACAGATAAAGTGGAGTGAAACAGCTTTATATGGAAGAGTAAACAGTGCATGATTCCAAATGCAGGAAAGTCTACAGAAGACGGTGATCACTTCCAGGGGTGAAGTAGGGCAGGAACTGATGGGAAAGGGGCATGAGGCAACTTTCTGAGAAAACAGTGTTCTGTGTCCTGCATTTCTCAAAATGCGGTAGAGTACACTTAGGATTTATATATTAATATAAATTGCATGTAAATTTTGCATCAAAAGAAAAAAATCGGTAATTAGTGAAATTTAGATAATCAGCATGCCCAAGGATTAAAGTGTACTGATAACAGCAATTTACTTTAAAATTAAGATAAATTCATAGATGGATATAGAAATGATAAGTGATTGATAAAGCAAGTTCAGTAAATGCTAGATTTAGGTGGTGAGTATATAGGTGTTCACTATAAAATGAGAAAAATCATTCTAAAAAATTAAAAAATAAGCAGAGATTTTTAAAATAAAGAGAAGGTGCGTTGCCTTTTGGAAAAGCAGGACAGGTAATGAAGGCTCACATGGTCCTATTCCTTCAAGGTCATGTAGTTAAGGACAATATGGGTTATATGACTGCCAGGAATAAAATGCAAGAAGAGTGAGATTATCTCTGTCTCAAATGCTGGAAGGGGGAAAGGCCTTATGTTTGTTCTCCTAATCTTTGGTGACCTGATACTTTGTTTGGGATTCTCGATATCACTACAATATGGTCACTGGACTCTTCTCACTGAACAAGTTGAACGCCAGTTTGCATGTTATAGAACCTTCACAGTGAGCAAGAGCTAAGTCTAGTCACTCACAGTCTCATTAAAATGTCTATTTCATGGACAGTCAGATAACCCAAAAGTCTGTAAAATCCAGAATTCTTTCCACCACCAGATAGGTTAAATATAATAAAATGATATAGGATAAATTGTTAGAATTGATAATGGCTTCCAGTGAAGACTGAGGATGGCTTTAAAAGGTACTTTTAAAAAAATCCTCACCCGAGGATGTGTTTATTGATTTTAGAGAGAGAGGAATGCTGATGTGAGAGAGAAACATCAATTGGTTGCCTCGTGTATGTGCCCCAGTTGGGGAGAGAGCGGTACCCTAGGTATGTGCCCTGACCAGGAATCGAACCTGCAGCCTTCTGGTGTACGGGGATGATGCCCCAACCAACTGAGCCATCCAGCCAAGGTAGCATGACTTTTTAAAACAAAGCATCACCTGCTTCATTTTGAACAAAAGTTAAAAATAATTCTCCCCAGCTTGCTCAAATTGTTTCATAACCTCTTCTTCTATTCCTATCAACGTAACAAAGGAAGAGTAGTTTATCTACTATGATGTGATTAAAACAAAACAATTTAGAAATATGGGGTCCAGCACAAATAATGTCCCTTTTTTATTACAAACTCTTTTGTTACAAAATCATAAGCATGTAATTCTGTAACATGACAATATCACATTCAAACACACCACATGACATGTTAGGTGAAATGTTCAAATTAAAACCACAAATTATGACACCCATATTATTACCCTACCCACCACACTCAAGCAGGTGTTACTTCCACCAGGCCCTGAACATTATGTCCTGCGAGTAACTCTGTCCTCAGTGCAACCTAGATCAGTTAACAATCAAGAAGCAAACTCACCTTGTCACATTATAAACCTTAAATATTGATATTCTGTGTTCTCAATATAAAAATACATTTAATATGGGGAATCAATATTTCACTTCTAATTTTTGGTTTAGTTATGATTGGAAAATAACTAAAAAGTTATAAGGGTAGGTCCTGGCCAGGTAAGCTCAGTTGATTTGAGTGTCATCCTGATACTTCAAGGTTGTGGGTTCAATCCCTGGCCAGGGCACATACTAGAATCAACCAATGAATGCATAAATAAGTGGAATTAAAAACCCAATGTTCTTCTCTCTTTCTCTTCCCCTTCCTCTCTCTAAAACAAACAATAAAATAAACAAACAAATCTTTTTTAAAAAGCTACAAGTGTTGGCCCTGACTGGTATAGCTCAGTGGATTGAGCGCAGGCTGTGAACTGAAGGGTCACCAGTTCGATTCCCAGTCAGGGCACATGTCTGGGTTACAGGCCAGGTCCCCAGTGGGGGCCTGGTGAGAGGCAACCACACATTGATGTTTCTCTCCCTCTCTTTCTCCCTCCCTTCCCCTCTCTCTATTAATAAATAAATAAAATCTTTTTAAAAAAGTTACAAGTGTAAGAGGGACTCTATAAATTGCCTTCAGGTATATTTTTAAAGAACAACATATAGTCTTAAGAATTACGATTTTTCTGTATTATGTTTCTTTTGATGTCAAAAGAAATGTATGGCAAATCTGTCCATTCAACATTAAAAATTTGGTCTTATTTTTGTATGTTATGCCCCCTCCCCAACTTCACCATTTCATTTTCTTCGTAATTCGTTTTAATTGTATTTTACAAAAGCATCGATCTGCGAGGGGTTGGAAATAAAGAATGTGGGTTCTTCAAAGACAGGGTGAGAGAAACTGGTTTAGGTTTCATTGCGGCAGCGAGCTGCAGACAGAACCCAGCAGGGCCGGAGCAGCAGCAGCACCCCAGACAGGAAGCTGACGTGGAGTGACTCTGGCTGCGTGTCTGAGGCCACTCAGCTTCTGTTGCTTTTGCTCATTTTCAGAACCTCCAGCCATCCTGCTGATTCCATGAGCTCTGTGACTGCTGTCTCATTTCATTCTTAGTTAAACAGTCAGTTCCATGATTTGCAAGGCAGAGCTCTGGCTGGTATGTACCTTTTGGTCTGCATCTTTTGCTATACTGATCTGTATCTCTCAGCCGACACTTTCCCATATCAAAGAACCAGCTGTGACACCTTCGCCTTCCTTCCTCCTCGCCCCCAGCAGCAGATTTTGTTTCTGCTGAAGTGTGCAGAAATGTTCCTGGCTTGTTGCAACAATAACAACAACAAAACACATTAAAGGGGTGGATCAGTTTTGGGGTATCAGTCTGATATTAGTCCACCTACACTGGAAGTTAAATAATCACAAACACTGAGTACTTAGGGCCATGTACTGTACTGGGTGCTAGGCCTCACTCAAGCATCGCAACAAAAGTGTATGTTAGGTATCTCTACTCCAATTTTATAGATGAGGAAGTATGGCTCAGGGAGTGAAATAACTTTACCAAGGTTATCTTGTTAGTACAAAGCAGAGACAAAACTCAGATCCAAAAGCATGAAATTAGTTGAGAGGCTAAATTCATTGGTATGTTTGAAAAATAACCCATCTGCAATCGAGGGACAGCTTACACTTCATCTGAGAAGGACCAGCTATGTTCCCTTCTAGGTCTTACCTGTCAGCTTAGTGAAGGCTTCCATGTCATCAATGGCTGTGGAAATGCGGTATTTTTTCCCTCCAGCTCCTGTAATCTCTATGTAGGGGTCTGCTTCCAGGAGAGCATCTGTAATCCTAAAGATCATTCAATAAAAATTTATGTTTATGAGAAAATTGAAATGGGTACTACTTTAGGCCTTGCTTAAAGTTGAGAAAGTCTCTCCAGTTTAAGGAAATAAACTCTCAAGACACGGTGTTCTACAGACACCTGTTCCTTGATCGTACGAAACACGTGCATGGTGATTTGTGGGCTGCCTGCCACGTGCACTGTGTCCCAGACACTAGGTCCAGGCTTTAGTACCACTGTCTTATTTAATCTTTCCAACAGTAACACAGACAGGCTCAATTTTACAGGTGCAGGAATGAAGCAGATTTTTATTTTACCAAGTCAGGAAGAAGCAGTATCAGGCTTTGTATCTTGATCTAACTGTCCAAATTAGAAACAAACTAACAAAACAACAACAAAAATCTCCTACCCCCAAGTAACAACCATACAAATGGGAGAATGTATTCTAACTAGTCTGCTCATGATAAAAAGAAAAAGGTCCATTTCTTCAACACAAACATGAAGATGCAAGGCTTACACTAAATCAATTTAAGGGCATTTTATTTTTTATTATATTTTTGCTCCTGTTTTCTTTTTTTTAATATACTTTATTGATTATGCTATTATAGTTGTCCCATTTCCCCCCTTCACTCCCCTCCACCCTGCACACCCTCTCCCACCCACATTCCCCCCCTTTAGTTCATGTCCATGTGTCCTAAGTTCTTTAGCATCTACATTTCCCATGCTATTCTTGCCTTCCCCCTGTCTATTTTCTAGCATAGATGGTAGGTCTACCATAGACCTACCATCTATGCTACTTATTCTCCGTACCTTTTTCCCCCTCTCTCCTCCTCCCACTCCCCTGTTGCTAACCCTCCATGTGATCTCCGCTTCTGTGCTTCTGTTCCTGTTCTAGTTGTTTGCTTAGTTTGTTTTTGTTTTAGGTGTGGTTGTTAATATGTGAGTTTGCTGTCATTTTACTATACGTTTTTTTTATCTTCTTTTTCTTAGATAAGTCCCTTGAACATTTCATATAATAAGGGCTTGGTGATGATGAACTCCTTTAACTTGACCTTATCTGAGAAGCACTTGATCTGCCCTTCCATGCTAAATGAAAGCTTTGCTGGACAGAGCAATCTTAGATGGAGGTCCTTGCCTTTCATGACTTGGAATACTTCTTTCCAGACCCTTCTTGCCTGTAAGGTCTCTTTTGAGAAATCAGCTGACAGTCTGATGGGAACTCCTTTGTAGGTAACTGTCTCTTTGTCTCTTGCTGCTTCTAGGATTCTCTCCATTTTTTTTCTTTTTTTTTTCTCCTTCATTTTTACCTCGGCTAATGTAATTATGATGTGCCTTGGTGTGTTCCTCCTTGGGTCCAACTTCTTTGGGACTCTCTGAGCTTCCTGGACTTCCTGGAAGTCTGTTTCCTTTGCCAGATTGGGGAAGTTCTCCTTTATTATTTGTTCAAATAAGCTTTCCATTTGTTGCTCTTCCTCTTCTCCTTCTGGTACCCCTATAATTCAGATGTTGGGTCGTTTAAAGATGTCCTAGAGGTTCCTAAGCCTCCCCTCATTTTTTTTTTCAATTCTTATTTCTTCATTCTTTTCTGTTTGTTTTTTTCTTCCATTTGGTTCACTCCATTGATGTGAGACCCAGCTTTCATTCCATCACTATTGGTTCCCTGTGAATTTTTTTAAATTTTCACTTATTGTAGCCTTCATTTGTTCATCTAATTTGCAACCCAAATCAACCAATTCTGTGAGCATCCTGATCACCAGTGCTTTGAACTGTGTATCTGATAGGTTGGCTATCTCTCGGTCACTTAAAAAAACTGGTTGTGGGGCCTTCAATTCTGTTTGAGCCATCTTCCCCCACTCCTTTGGTCTGGTCGCGCCTGTTGTGTATGAGAGGCGGAGGTTTAGGTGTTCACCAGAGCAGGGCACCCCAGTCTCTGGGTTGTGATGTTGTATGTGGGGGCGGGGTCGGAGAGGGACCAATGGCACTTGCTCTGCTTTCTGTGGGACCTCAGTCTCTTCCGCTGCTTCCCTGGAGCAAACTGGGCCCCTCTGGTGCCCATACCTGTGTGAGTGGGCTTGTGCACACTGTGGGACCCTCCGAGGACCTCTCCTGAGAGGCTGGGAGTCCCTCCCTGCTCTTCAATCCCCACAGGTGTCCTCAATCAGTGCCCCAAGGCTCTGTTTCCCAGCGCTGGGATCCTGGGTTGTGCACAGTGCCTTGCTTCACAATCACCACCTGACTGGGTCTGCCGGTTGCCACCCCTTGGCCAGGGTCTGCCAGCTGCCACTTGCATGCTCAGGGTCTGCCCGCTGCAGTCTTGTGCGCCCTGAATGCTTCACGCGCCCGGTCCCAATGCTCTCTGCTCTCCAAGCCATGACCCGCACCCCGCTGCCCGACTCCATCCCTCCTACTGGTCTGGATGAATGTGTCTATTTTCTTGGTTGTCCGACTTCCATTCAGATCAATTTTCTGTCAGTTTTGGTTGTTATTCTATTTCTAAATTGTTGTTGTTTCTATCTTGGTTGTGCGAGGAGGCACAGTGTGTCTACCTATGCCTCCATCTTGGCCGGAAGTCTCAATTTAAGGGCATTTTAGAGACAAGGTGTAAACTGGACTCACACCCAACTTTTGGTAACCCCTCATGGAGTGTTTTAGCCCCTAGAGACTAGATTGTACTTTCCTGCAATGGAACAGGGAGAAGTGAAATTCCTGCTGGTTTTACTATTTGCTATTAATTTTGATAAGTAATTGACGGGTACAGCTGGAGATTAATCTTAATTCTTAAAATTGTTTGTCATTAATTTCAGAATGTCAATTATCCACATCCCTTCGATCACAATGACTGCTATCTGGTACAAAAGCGACAGCCTGTGCGGAAGGCCTAAGGTGTTCCAGCATTAACTCTTCACGTCTAGCCTAAGTCAGCTTTTCTGCCCTTCATCTTACCCCCTTTAATCCACTCTCCAACTCTTCCTCCAACTAAATTAAGTTTACTTTATGTGAGTTTTGTTTCATTCAAGGGAACAGTTCAAGATTTACTCACTTAAAATTCACTTGAATTAATCTAGAAATCTCAACTTGATCCGTATATGATACTCTAGAGCACAGCATCATAGAAATTTTTATAGGGAAATAACAATCAAATTTCTTACATTCTGTCAATGATGTTGCTAACTTTGTGCTGATAAGCTCTGCGGTGTAAAAAGTGGCGTGTATGGAACATGTCATACATATTCTCAATCTCCTGCAAGAAAACATGAAATAAATATTAATTTTTTAGGATTAATTTATGTAGGATCAGATTATGTTACGCCTGTTAATAGACAAGTATATGAAGCAAGAAAAAAGGATGGTGGCAGACACAAAGGCTACTTCATTAAAATTCCTGAGCCCACTAAAAAAATGGCAAGGCAGATTAGTAAAATTATTCATTGGTTTACAACTTTCATTCTTAGTAATCCAAAATGTATTGTATGTTGTAACTCTGTGGCAGGTTCTGTTTTAGGCATCTTATATATTTTTAAATTTTCCCAGTGACTCTAGAAATTAGGTATTATTATTCCTATATTCTTCATTCTAAAAAAAAAGAAATTAGGTATTATTATTCCTGTATTCTTCATTCTCAAAAAAAATTAGGTATTATTATTCCTATATTCTTCATTCTCAAAAAAAAAGATGTTTTTAAAAACCCACACCCAAGGATATGTTTATTGATTAAGAGAGAGAGGAAGGGAGGGAGAGAGAAAGAAAAAGCAAGACAGGGGGAGAGGGAGGGAGGGAGAGAGAGAGAAACAGAGAGAGATTGCTTGGTTGTCTCTCATATATGCCCTGACCAGGAATCAAACCTGCAACCTAGTATGTGCCTTGACCAGGAATCGAATCTACAACATTTTGGTGCACAGGATGATGCCTCACCTAGTCAGGGCTCAAAAGAAAGACTTTTTACAATATAATATCATACTACTCTTTAGTTATATGACTCTAACAAGGACCTAGTGATTTTATTATCTTAACTATATGAAATACTAACATAGTGATTAAAGATGACACTTACGCCAAATTTTCTTGTTTGAAATTCTAGTTCTGCCATTTATTGATTATATGTCTTTTCTGTTCTTCAATTTGCTCATTGTTAAATGGAATAATAACAGTATCTCACAGGGTTGTGAGGATTGAGTTAATTTATCTAAAGGACTTAAAAACAGTGCCTAGCACAACACTTAATAAATGTCTATTGTAAATTTATTATTATTTAGCAACACAGTGCAAGTGGAAAGAGCCTAAGGATACGTACAAATGCCTAGCATGAAGAGATCGACAATTTACCAAACAATGATTTTTTCCAAATTACTGAATGATTATTTCTAGATTTCAAACTAGAAATAACCATTCCAGCTACGCTGCTCCATTGTATAGAGGAACCTCTGACATAGCTCACCTTATCTCTGATACAAATGCACATCAAATCTGCTACTTTACAGACACGGACAAACTTAAGACAGCGCCTATAGTCAAAATTATTTTGAATTCCAAGATGATGGCAGTCCCTAGAAAGATTCCAAAGCAGACAGATCAAATTTTTCAGCAAGGTAACTGTACCTAAACATTAATACTATACTATACAAGCATTTATTTTTATTGTATTTATTTGTTGGCTTAAATAACAATTGTATAAAGTATACAAAGACTTTAACCAAGTTTTCTGAAGTGTTCAGTATGTACCTGGCAAGATAGTCCCATTTGTCCACATCGATGCCATTCCTCTTGTTGGCCACTACCTCGTAAAGGAAGGCCTTCTCTTTAGGGCGTCCTTTGTATTGCCACTAGAAGACAAGAAAACCCATAAAAAGTTTTAGGATAAGAACCAAATCTGCTTATAAACAAAGCAATTGTATTAATATGAAAATCATAAATAGATACTTCAATGGGAAATAATTTAGAAGGTTCTTTCCAGTTAATTCCTAAATTAGTAGAAAAGGGAAAAGAAATGCTAAGGTGCATGATATCCTGTCAATACTAAACCTTTTTAGTACTTAGTATCGTTGGAAGGATCCAAATTTGACCACACTTCCCATAACCAACAAGCTCTGTTTTCTTGGTTTCAAAGTTTTTAAAAATGTAAGATCCTATTATGAACTAGTAAGAAGGCTCCTTACATGCTAATGCTTGAGTTCATACATGGAAATAATATTATCTTTCAAAGTAGTTACACATCTACCCTAAATGATATGCACCATTCAAAGACTTTTTGGAGCTGCATTTTTTTCCCAAATAGGAAATGTGCTATAAAATCCACCTCTTTCTTACAAGTGGATTTCTATACACACACACACTATATATATGTATATATATACACATACACACACACATATGTATATATATATATATATATATATAAGAAACTTAGAAACAGAACAGATACTAATGCAACTTTTAATTCCATTCAACTAATTCAACATTTTCTTCCTGGATCTTCATATATCTACCGTATTTTTCAGACTATAGATGCACCCCCCATTTGGGAGAAATAATGGTTGTTAATGCTGCTGTTGAGTTCTGTTTACATTTATATTAGTGAAATATCACATTATTTATGTTATTAAATATTTTACCATACTTTTGCTTCAATTTTTTTTTCCCTATTTTCCTCCTCTAAAACCTAGGTGTATCTTATGGTCTGAAAAATATGGTAAACATTTTAAATACTAGTCTTCATGGATAAACAATATATACACTGTTATAATTTCCAAACAAAGTTACTTTAGGCTTCTATATAAAATACTGCATATATATTCATTATAAAATATTGACATTATGTATTTTAATTTATATATGCCTTTGTATTTTTTCCCAAGTCCTTCTAAACCCAGTCCTTCTAAAATAGCCAAGTGCTTCTCTTCAAATATCTCTGAAGGAGTCAGGAAAAGACTAGATGAAAAGCATGAGTCACTTCAAATGAAGTTGTACACAAACTTACAGATGAAGCGTCCACTGGTGGTTCAGGTGGTCCTATAATTTGTTCCTTGATAAAGCAAATATCATCTTTAGGGTCGAGATCATAGCGCTTCATGACGGGTTCGAGATCATTAGACTCAACGAGGTGCTCAAACATATTGACTGAGCCCTGTTCGTGCTAGGAAAAGTCAGAATAATGTGGTCTGTTATCAACTCTAGTCAGTTAGGGACCCCAGATTACTCAAATTACTGTTGATTCCAGGTAATTCAAAGATAAGCTTCTACTGCATGTTAATTATCTAGTTTCGCCCTGGCTGGCGTAGCTCAGTGGATTGAGCACGGGCTGCGAACCAAAGTGTCGCAGGTTCGATTCCCAGTCAGGGCACATGCCTGGGTTGCAGGCCATGACCCCCAGCAACCGCACATTGATGTTTCTCTCTCTCTCTCTTTCCCCTTCCCTTCCCTCTCTAAAAAATAAATAAATAAAATCTTTAAAAAAATTATCTAGTTTCCAGCTACTGTCTTGCAGATATTTCCAAAAACCTATACATTTCTCTGTAGTTTACTGGTCTATAAACTTTTTATAAACTTTTTTACAAACAATGTTCAACATTATATATATTTAATGAACTACAGTCATTTACAGCACAGAAGTACTTCACAGTACAGTACGGAAGAATATTACCAGGTCACACAGGTGGAATCCCATTTTCATGAAAATTGCCATAAAATTCAGTTCTATTATTTAATCAGCTTTGAAACCCAAAGTTACAAATTTTGTTAGGATTTTCATCTACTGGTGAAAACCCCCACAAATTTGCGAGTAAAAATAACAGTGTAGCTCCTAAGTGGGATCCAGTGGGATCCTTAAATGGATTCCTTTCTGTTTCCTCATTCGAACTCATTGTAAAGACATCGACCGTCACAGGTCTTACCAAAAACTGACCTAAGGATAAAAACAAAGGCCAGAATGGTCCTACAACCATATTTTGAAAATTGAATCAAGGTAACATATTAGTTATAAAGGAGAAGAACGGTAAGTTTCTGGTGGGAAAATTCAGCAGACATTGCCTTACTCGAGAGGCCAGACTCAGCAGTGCTAGCAATGGCTGCACAGGTGGTACGTGCTGCAGATGGGACACGCCAAGGAGCGCAAAATGTGGCATTCTGCCAAAAAGGTGGTCTCCCGCTGTGAAGGAACATCAGACCAACTCAGACTGAGGGACACTGCACAAAATGGCTCACTTCTACTCTTCAAACAAGGGCAATGTCATGAATTGTGAAGACTCAAGAATTAGTAGGGGCCGAAGGAGACTCAGGAGCATGGCAACCAAGTGCAATGTGTGTATGAACTGGTTAAAAAAGGTTTCTCCTCTTCTTCTCTATGGACATTTGGTGAAATTTGAAAGAAAGTCTAAATTCAATAATAGTAGTACATCAACACTAATAGCTGAATTTTGATAATTATTCTGAGGTTAAGTAAGAGAATGTTCTTGTTTTTAGGAAATACCCACTGAGGTATTTAGGCATGAGAGGGTATGTCTAGAGTTTACTTTCAAATGTTTCAGAAAAACATTTATATATACAGAAAATTTAAGTTCCACAAAGATAGCATATACAATAACAAAATTATAAGTAATGTAGAAGTAAATATAATAAAAGATGTATAACTTTATGGAGAAAATGATAAAATTTATAATAGAAGGGCAAAGCAAATCAAAACCACAATGAGACAGGCTGACAGTGACCAGAGGGGAGAGGGGAGGGAATTTCAGGGGAGAATGGGAAGGGTTTACAGGAACAAATTTAAAGGACACATGGACAAAAACTAGGTGGAGGATGTTAATGGGAGGGAAGTGGGGGGGGGTTGGGTTGGGTGGGCTGGAATGGGAGTAAAAGGGAGAAAACTGTACTTGAACAATGATTAAAATAAAAAATAAAAACACAATGAAATATCATCTCACAACTGTCACAGTGACTGTATCAAAAAAGACAAAAAGTAACAAGTATTAGCAAAAATGAGGAAAAAAGGGAACCCTCTGCACTGTCAGTGGGAATGTACATTGGTGCAGCCTCTATGGAAATCAGTATGAAGTTTCCCTAAAAAATTAAAAATAGAAATACCATATGATCCAGCAATTTCACTTCTGGGTATTTATCCAGTGGAAACATAGACACTGATTTAATAAGATACATGCTCCGCTATCTTCATGGCAGCATTATTTACAACAGCCAAGACGTGAAAGCAACCTATGTGCCCATCAACAACAGATGAATGGATGAAGATATGTTTTATATATACAGTGGAATATTAGTCATAAAAAAGAATGAAATCTTGCCATTTGTAATGACATGGATGGCCCTTGAGAGTATTATGGTAAGTGAAATAAGTCAGACAAAGAAAGACAAATACTGTATGATTTCACTTACTTACATGTGGACTCAAGCAACAAAACAAAACCAGATTCATAGAACTGCCAGGTATTTGCCAGAGGGGAGGAGGGCTGATGGTGGGGGGCACAAATAGGAAGAGGGGATCAAGAGGTACAGACTTCCAGTGGTAAAAAGAAATCAGTCATGAGATATAATATACAGCATGGGGAATATAGTCAATAACAGTGCATTAAATTGTATGGTGACAAATGGTAATCATATTTATTGTGATGATCACTTCATAATGCATGGGTTGGCCAAAAGTTCGTTTGTTTTTTTTTTTTCCGTAAGATGGCTCTACTAGTGCTTAGTTGTCTTTAACTTCATTTGAAACAATTTTGTTAGACTGTATTGTGACAGCTGTCATATCAGTGTGCCTTTAAAAAACACTTGCCAAAATTGGTGTATTTTTGTGTAGCCATTTTACTATTGAAGATGGAAGAAAATACGCAACATTTTGGGCATATTACACTTTATTCAAGAAAGGTAAAAATGCAACTGAAATGCAAAAAAAGATTTGTGGCATGTATGAAGAAGGTACCATTGGTCTAATGTGTCAAAAGTGGTTTGTGAAGTTTTGTGCTGGAGATTTCTCGCCGGACAATGCGCCATGGTCAGGTAGACCAGTTGGAGTTGATAGAGATCAAATCAAGACATTAATTAAGAATGATCAATGTTATACCATGCAGGAGATAGCCGACCTACTCGAAATATCCAAATCAATAAAGTTACTGGTGAAAATAAAAAATGTAGTGTCCCAGGTTCGATTCCCAGCCAGGGTACATGCCTGGGTTGCAAGCCATAACCTCCAGCAACCGCACATTGATGTTTCTCTCTCTCTATCTTCCTCTCTTCCCTCTCTAAAAATAAATAAATAAAATCTTTAAAAAAAATGTACCTTTTATTTACAGCAAAAACTAAACAGACTTTTTGGCCAACCCAATATATAAACATCAAATCATTATGTTGTACACCTAAAACTAATATAATATTGTATGTCAATTATACTTCAATTTAAAAAGGGGTCAAAGTTGGGTAGTATGCCACAGTGCATTGACTGCTGGCCTTCGAACCTAGAGGTCGCCAGTTTGATTCCCCGTAGGGGCACATGCCTGGGTTGCAGGCCAGGTGTCCCACTGGGGGCGTGCAGAGGCAACCAACTGATGTTTCTCTCACATATCAATGTTTCTCTCCTTGTCTTTCTCCTCCCCCCTCTAGTAACGAATAAATAAAATGTTGAAAGAAAAAGGCCATTGGGAATGGCTAAGTAGATTCTCTTTAGATCAGCATTGCTGGAGAAAACGACCACACACTTTGTGTCTGGCAGGACAGGCAGTAAACTAAGGCAGGGAGGAGGAGGGAGATTTGTCTCCGCAGTCCTGAGCCTGGTCCAATGAGATTGCCAGGCTTTCCGAACACCACAGCAAGGATAATGCAGGAGGAAGGCAGTCCTAGAGACCCTGCTGGGAAAGAGAGCCTCTGTAGCAATTTCACTAAGACAAAGAGCCTTCACTAGCCGAGAAAGAAAGCCTTTGGAGCTGTACAAGATTCCCAAGGTTTAGGAAGGGCATCTAGCAGCGGACTAAAGTGCATAACCACTGAATCCCAACAGTCAGCACACGCAGATTAGCTGAGTGCCCACTGGTAGCCTCGGTTCAAGCTACAGAAAAAACTGACTAAACAACTTACTAACAGCTTTATTTCCTCTATACATGGCACATTCAGACCCGCCGGGTGCCTGCTTGCAGCTTCATGCTCGTGTGTGTTTCATAAATAAACTTGCTCCCTCGTTTCCACCACGTGTGTTGTCTCTCACACGAATCTGTCTCTCGCGAGTGAGATGAGAACCCAGGAACAAGCTCGGGGCGGGCGGGGGGTGCGGGGGCCGGTCACGTTCGGACAACTCACTGAAGACACTGGACAGCAAGTGAAGGCAGGCAGGTGTTAGAGGAAGACAGCACCTGGAAGAGGAAGCCACTGGGCGATATCCCAGTTCTCCTACGGCTTTCACCCGGAGAGCAGAGCCAAGAAAGGCAGGAGAACCGGAGGGCCACTGTCCATCTTACTGGACTGACGAACCAGAGCACTTCGTTGAATGTTTACATTTGTCAAAGGGCACCGTTAGAAAAATGATTTGGCAAGTCAGACACTGGAGGAAAAATATTCATTATGTATCTTATCAAAAATTCCTCGAATCAATAATAAAAAGGTAATCCATTTTTTTAAAAGGGTGAAACACTGAAAGGACTCCTCACACAAGAAGACATATCAGTGACGAAGTACAAAATATAGGAAACGCTACTCAACATACATACCCAGAGTGCAAACTGAACCACCAGGCGGCATCTCACACTCATTAGAAAAGCTAATCGGAAAAAACCCACGTTGGCGAGGCTGTGAAACAACAGGAACTCACACCCGGCGCTGGCAGAGGGTAAAAATGGTGCACCCACACTGGAAAGCCCGGGTAGTTTCTTATAAAGTGAAATACATGTCTACTTTGTGACCCAGCGACTCTGCTCCTAGGTATTTATCTAACAGAAATAAAAATGTTGTCCACAAAAAGCATGTTCCATAAGCAGAGCAACCTTATTCCTAATAGCCCCAAACCGAAAACAACCCAAACCACTATGCTGTACACCTAAAACTAGTACAAAATAACAGTAAATGTAAACTGTAATAGAAAAATAAAATGTAAAGTTCTTCTCCAATACGTAAAAGTAAGTGAAAACAACACAAACTCCATCAAAAGGACAAACAAATGATCACTTACTCACACCACAGAACAATACCTCGGCGATAAGAAGGGAGCAGCTACTGATGCACACAGCATGAACACACTTCAAAAACCACTGCATGCACAAAGCAAGCGACAAAAGTACCTACTATAGGGTTCTACTTTTCTCAAGTCTAAAACCAGGCAAAACTGATCTATGTTTATAAAAATCAGCCTGGCTGGCGTAGCTGAGTGGATTGAGCACGGGCTGCGAACCAAAGCGTCGCAGGTTCGATTCCCAGTCAGGACACATGCCTGGGTTGCAGGCCATGGCCCCTAGCAACCGCACATTGATGTTTCTTTCTCTCTCTTTCTCCCTCCCTTCCCTCTCTAAAAATAAATAAATAAAAATTAAAAAAATAAAATAAAAATCAGAAGGTGCTGCTGGGGGAGGAGTGGAAACTGACTGAAAAGGGGCACAGAGGAACTTCCAGGAAGATGGAGACATTCTCATCCTCACTTGAGTCGTGGTTACATGGATGCAGACATTGGTCTAAACTCACTGAACTGTATGTACACTTAAAATCTGTACAACTTATTGTATGTGAGTTATACTTTTAAAAAAGGGGGGGGAAGAGACAGAGAAAACAGTGGTTGACATGTAAGAAGCATTCAATACATATAATATCCTTTTCTACTCCAGGATCCAGAGACAGTGTGGCCAAAAATGAACCTAGTCTAATTTTATTCTCACAACCAAGTTTACTTCTCAAAAACTGATTCCCAAAATATGGGTCAACCGCCTGCAAATCCCTAATGATAAAATGGCTCATTTAATATACAGGATGGGCAAAAGTAGTTTTACAGCTGTAAGTGAAACAGAGTTCTTATATTATTATTTATTGTTATATTATTTTCCATACGAATGACTGTAATCTAACTTTGGCCCCGCCCTGCAGAGGAGGACACTTGGCTGCAGTCAGTTACTTCATGGTTATGCCAGATGAGTCAAAACCAGAGTTGGCCTTTTACTTTTTATCTTACAGTAGCATGACAGAGTAGAAAGAGCATTAAACCAGTACCTGGGAAACCTGGTTTTCTAGCACTGGCTCTACCATTTACCAGCTTTGTGATTTTTGGTGCACCCACACACCTCTGTCCATTTCGAGTTCCTTTCCAGTTGTAAAAAATGGAGATGATGGTTTCCTCCTTACAGACTGTGAGAATCAAATAAAAACGCACATGCATGCAAACACACATCCATACATCCACACATAGATATACAGATATGATACATGGATATATATATATATATATATATATATATGAAAGCTCCCTGAGAACTGTAATGGGGAAGTGTACCAGACACGCAGTGGTCGCCACTTTACCGACTGTCGAATGTGTGACGTACCTTCCATTGCACATCTTGGCGAGCGAGTGGAATAAATCTCCCATCAAACATATGAGAAAATGGCCCATGACCTGAAAAACAAAAGTGAGCTTAGAACAAGAAAAATGTAAAAACTGAGCCGATTTTTAAAAATCTGTTTAGTTTTCACTGGACCTTCAACTGAAATCAATAACCTATAAATACATCACAAAAAGGGACAAATCCTTCCTTCCTAGTTTCTGAAAACAAGAGAACAGGCAGCAGAACCGTGTGGGGGAGTAAGCTCTCTATGCAGGGGTCTCTGAGTCACCAGAACTCATATAACTCTGGTGAAAGGACAGTTTTGTACGACTTCAAGGAATGTAGTGACACAAAAAAAGTTTTGGCACCTTCACGTTGAATATCTGTATGAAAACAGCAGTTTTAACACAATTCACTGGGATGCAGGAATAAAATATTAGAATTTTATTACTTTCATCCTTTAAAAACACCTATTTTTATGTAAATTTTATAAAATACATAATATAGTTAGAGACTTATACATCTATCAGGGCTGTTTCTTGGGATTTTACTGATAATGTGAACCATCAAAAGTGGAAATCAAAGGTTTATCTTATTCATAACTGATTTTAACATTTCACATTTAGTAACATGAAACTTGGTTGAGGTCAAACTCTGGGATCTTCAGAATGACTGTAGAAGTGAATGACTCAGCCAGAGAGAGCACCACTGGGCCAGCCCCGGGCCTTCATGCATGGTGCACTCTGTACACAGAGGCCCATTACTGCAGTGCTCAGACTCCTAGGGCCTGGCAAAGGTTTCCCGATGACTCCCTCTCAGAACACCAGGAATCTGTTAAATTTATCATCTGGAGGAGTATCCGTCCTACTGCTATCTACAAGGGGACATGCTGAAGAGCTGAAGAGGTAGAGTGCCCTACCTCTTTAAGTATCTGGCTATCGAAACACAGACCCTTCCCCTCCCCTGCCCTGAGGGCGTACACAGATTCTCAGGGTCTTCCCCCAAGTGGAACTTAATGCCTGTGATAAAAGGATACTGTCTCAAGCTTTGCACAGTGACAGTATCGTAGCCAATGAGGTCTATCCGAGACGGGATTATTGCTAATTGAAAAGGATACTGTCTCTTTTCTCTTTCCTGGTCAAAGAAAAAGGGTAATACTCTTTTACTTTGATTTCAGTGGCCCAGGACTCAGATGGGTCAGGGAAGAGGAGACGTTTAAATCTGTTGTTAATCTGTTAGGGCAGATTATGTATTCTAGGTACGAGAAAATGGACCCAGCAAAGTAACTGAAGGTAAAATGGCAATTTTCTTCAACAAGAAGGATTAAAAAAACAAAACAAAACTAAGTTCACATCCTCCTAAACAGAGCAGTCAGAAAACCTCAGTGTGAGAAAGTCCTTTCAAGTAACTTGTGGCAACGCTGTTTAACAGGAAATTCACTGAAAAGCAACAACAAAAAATAGCAATGCTGTAGTCTTATGGATCATTCTAGGAAGGTGTAATGGCACCTTTATATTAATGTTAATTGAAAATTTAAAACACAACTTTCATATTTCTTTTAGTCAGATATTTCCATTTCAAAGAGAGGTAAGGCTACGGTTCTTCATAGCGGCTTTGGCTCTTTGTACCACTTACCAAGGTCGTGACAAAGCCCAGCGATCTGAACACAGAGTATGTCTCGTTCACTTATTTGCAGCTCTGGTTGTCTGTCTCTCAGTGTTTGGACTAGACATCCTGCTAGATGTCCTACGCTGCAGAGCAAACCAAACAAAAAGTCACTCTTCTGTTTCTAAGATACGAGTGATACTTCCTGGTTCTCAAGAACTTTAATGTTGCTCAAATGTTATGATATATCTCGAGGGCAACTTAACTGAATCACGTGTTTTGGAACTTGTCAGAAACACACAGAATCCCCAAAAGCTGGGCTTCTTGGCTAGCATCAGTAATTCTTAGGTAAATGCAAAGTCAAAACCATAATGAAATACCATGTCATACCCATTAGGATGGCTATTACTTAAAAACAAAACAAAACACAAAACAACCCAAAATAATTAGTAAGTGTGCCTGGATGTGGAGAAATTGGAACCCTTGTACACTGTTAATGGAAATCTATAATGGTGTAGCCACTTGGGAAAATGGTATGGTGGTTCCTCAAAATATTAAAACTAGAATTACCATAGATTCAGCAATTTCAATTCTAGGGATGTACCCAAAACACTGAAAACAGGGTCTGTAAGATATATTTGCACACATGTGTTCCTAGCAGCACTATTTACAACAGCCAAAGAGGTCAAAACAACTCAGTGTCCACCAACAAATAAAGAGATAAACAAAATGTGATCTATACATACATTCAAATATTAATCTTAAAAAGTAAGAAAAACCTTTTTTTCTAATTTTTATTTATTTATTTTTAGTGAAAAGGGAAGGGAGGGAGAAAGACAGGGCAAGAGACATCAATGTCCCAACAGGGGACCTGGCCCGCAACCCAGGCATATGCCCTGATTGGGAATCGAACCAGCGACCCTTTGGTTTGCTGGCCAGCGCTCATCCACTGAGCTACACCAGCCAGAGAAGAAAATTCTGACATATGCTCCAACATGGAGGAACCTTGAGGAAATTATACAAAGTGAAATAGCTGATCAGAAAAAGGGGCTGGGGATTGCGGGGAATGGGGAATTGTTAATTGATGGTTATGGAGTTTTAATTTTGCAAGACGAAAAAGTTCTGGAGTTTGGTTGCACAATAATGTGGACATACTTAACACTATTGAACTGTGTCCTTAAAGATGGTTAAGATGGTAAATTTTATATTCTATGCATTTACCACAATTAAAAAAATTAGTGCCCTGGCTGGCATAGCTCAGTGGATTGAGCACGGGCTGCAAACCAAAGTGTCGCAGGTTCAATTCCCAGCCAGGGTACATGCCTGGGTTGCAGGTTATAATCCCCAGCAACCGCACATTGATGTTTCTCCCTCTCTCTCTCTATCTCCCTCCCTTCCCTCTCTAAAAATGAATAAATAAAATCTTAAAAAAAAAAAGTGCCTGTTAGCCTCACGGCACCCTTAAAAAATTTTTTTTTAAAAATTAGCAGGACTTCTGTTTTGTAATGATTACAACATAGATTAAAGATAAAATGCCTAACAAATGTTAAATGCACTCCTAGCACTTCCCTCTGAAAGTAATTTCTGAATGAATACAGTAACTTTGAGGATAGAGACAACAGCTACCTAGTTGGTCTGGTGGGACCCAGAAAGTTTTCAATAAATATTTGTTGATGAACAAATGAACACTCGAGTAGATACATGTGTTCTGGATAATTAAAAACTGCTTCAAAATAAGCAAACAAAAAAACACAAAGTAATACTGTTAGTACTTCATGAATACCTGGAAACTTGTCCAGTTTTTCCTTGCTTATGTCCTCCTGGCTCTACATTTTTATAATGGAAAAGTGGACCAAAGTCTCAACTTAGTTGTATGCAACAAAAGTGCCACTTCCCTGAGCCTGTGAATACTTTTCTGATTTACACATTTCTTGGTTTCAAAAGATAATCTGTACACGACTAAGTAGAGACTACAGGAAAATTAAATAATCACATTTACCAAGTTAATTATACCAGTAACCAACCCTATTGGCTTTTAAATAATACTTAAACACACATATTTCAATCATATTTCATGAGACAGAGGTACTTAATAACTTCACGTCCCCACCCCAATCCCCGTCTTACCCGAGACTGTGCTCAAATCGATTGTGTGAAGCTCCTGGAAAGACATAGTAAGTGCCTCCCAACTGTTTAATATATCGAAGCCGCTGAAACTGAGGTGTATCGATGATCCGGACAAGGAGAGGGTGAAGTTCAAAATGGCCATGGATAGGATCATTAATAACCTAGAAAATTATGTTTAAACTAATATGAGTAACAATACATAACTTATTATGCAGCCATGTCTACTTACAGTGTAAAGTCAAAATTGTTTCATTGCTCTCAAGACTAATACGAAGGGAAATGACAAGATATTAATAATATTACCTTATTTTGATATCACTACCAGACAGCTCAAGTATATTGAATCTGGGTATATTTTGCTTTTCCCTAATGGATTCTAATATCAAAAAGATAAGGATTTCAATCCTTTGATTATTATTTATCCTCACCCAAGGACATGTTTTCACTGCCTTTTATTTTTATTTTTTTGAGAGAGAGAGAAAAAAAGAGGATGGGAAAGAGAGAAACATCTAAGTAAGAGAAACATCAACTGGTTGCCCCTCTTATGTGAACTGACCAGGGACCCTACACCCTGGACCGGGGATCGAACTCACAACCTTTTGATTAAGGGCTGATGCTCCAACCAGCTGAGCCACACTGGCCAAGGCTTTGTACATTATTTCATTAGCCTTTAATGTTAGTCTTGTAGTCAAGTTAAACATACTCATCTAACACACTCACTCTCTGATCAAATAAGCCATGTTACTACTGGCACTGTGTCTAAACTTTTTTTAAATGTATCTATATAGTACCCGTCACCACAGAAGGAAGGAAGGGAGGGAGGGAGGGAGGAAGTGAAGAGGAAAGGGAAGAAAGGAAGAAAAGGCGAGGGAAGAGAAAAGAAAGAAACCCTCTGACCACATAGATAAGAAACCATATGCAGGCACATAAAAATTTTATAGTACTTGTATAGTCACTCAGAAATACTTTATATTTAAACTTCTGGCCAAGATGGAGGCGTAGGTAGACACACTGTACCTCCTCGCATAACTGAAAGAAGGACAACAATAATTTAAAAACAAAAAACAACCAGAACTGACAGAAAATCAAACTGTATGGAAGTGCGACAGCCAAGGAGTTAAAGAAGACACGCTCATCCAGACCGGTAGGAGGGGCGGAGACGGACACTCGGAGAGGACCCACGCACGACAAAGCGACGGTGGAGGACCGGGGAGGCAAGGCGGTGGCTGGGCTGGCAAGACTGCAGTGGCGGCTGGCAGAGCAGGCGGTCCCACATTTGTGTGCAGACAAACTGGGAGGAACAACTGGGGAGCGAGACAGACCGCACAACCCAGGGCTCCAGTGGGGAAATAAAGCCTCAAACCACTGATTGAAAACACCTGTGGGGCTTGGGGTGGCAGCGTGAGAGACTCCCAGCCTCACAGGAAAGTTCGCTGGAGAGACCCACAGGGTCCTAGAACAAAAACAAGCCAACCCACCTGGGAATCAGCACCAGAAAGGCCTAGTTTGCTCGGGGGAAGTGACTGAAATCGGACAGAGAGCGGAGCAAGCACCGTGGTTCCCTCTCGGACCCTGCCCACACACACAGCATTACAACCCATTGACATCGCTTGTCCCGCTCTGGTGAACACCTAAGGTTCCGTCCCTCACTATGTAACAGGTCAAGACAAAAAAAAAAAAGGCTCAAACGAAAAAAACAGATCAAAGCACCAGAAAAAATACAACTAAGCGATGAAGAGATAGCCAATCTATTAGATGCACAGTTCAAAGTACTGTTGATCAGTATGCTCACAGAATTGGTTGAATTTGGTTGCAAATTAGATGAAAAAATGAAGGCTACTTTAAGAGAAATGAAGGAAAATGCACAGGGAACCAATAGTGATGAGAAGGAAAGTGGGACTCAAATCAACGGTATGGACCAGAAGGAAGAAAGAAACATCCAGTCAGAAAAGAATGAAGAAATAAGAATTCAAAAAAAAATGAGCAGAGGCTTAGGAACCTCCAGGACATCTTTAAACATTCCAACATCCAAATTATAGGGGTACCAGAAGGAGAAGAGGAAGTGCAACAAGTGAAAAACTTATTTGAACAAATAATAAAGGAGAACTTCCCTTTCCCAATCTTGCAAAGGAAACAGACTTCCAGGAAGTCTAGAAAGCTCAGAGTCCCAAAGAAGTTGGACCCAAGAAGAAACACACCAAAGCACATCATCATTACATTAGCCAAGGTAAAAATGAAGGAGAGAATCCTAGAAGCAGCAAGAGAAAAGGGGACAGTAACCTACAAAGGAGTTCCCATCAGACTGTCAGCTGATTTCTCAAAAGAGACCTTCCAGGCAAGAAGGGGCTGGAAAGAAGTATTCCAAGTCATGAAAGGCAAGGACCTACATCCAAGATTGCTCTATCCAGCAAAACTTTCATTTAGCATGGAAGGGCAGATCAAGTGCTTCTCAGATAAGGTCAAGTTAAAGGAGTTCATCATCACCAAGCCCTTATTATATGAAATATTAAAGGGATTCATTTAAGAAAAAGAAGATAAAAATATGAACAGTAAAATGACAGCAAACTTACAATCATTAACAACCACACCTAAAACAAAAATAAAAGCAAACTAAGCAAACAACTAGAACAGGAACAGAGCCACAGAAATGGAGACCACATGGAGGGTTAGCAACAGGGGAGTGGGAAAGGGAGAGAGTGGGAAAAGGTACAGAGAATAAGTAGCACAGATGGTAGGTAGAAAATAGACAGGGGGAGGGTAAGAATAGTATGGAAAACGGAGAAGCCAAAGAACTTATATATATGACCCATGGACATGAACTAAAGGGGGGAATGTGGGAGGGGGTGTGCAGGGTGGAGGGGAGTGAAGGGGGGAAATGGGACGACCATAATAGCATAATCAATAAAATATATTTTAAAAAAGAAATATTTATATTTAGTAAAGATAAATTCTACTCTAAGTTTAAACAAGAGCTTTAAATATGGGTGAAGATTTAATGCCCCTCTGTGTTTCTTTAAAGATACATCTTTCTGAAATGTCATTTCACTGCCTTTTAAAGAGAAGGCTACAGAATAAAAAAGGAGCCTGATAAATGATCTAATTCATGATGTTCAAACTGCTTCAGATTGAAGTTGCTTAAAAATGTGCGGAAGTCTTGCCCCAGCCAGTGCGGCCTAAGTTGGTCGGGCACCGTCTCGCAAACCAAAAGGTTGCTAGCTCGATTCTCGTCAGGGTCCCTGCCTGGGCTGCAGGTTTGGTCCCAGGTGGGGGCGCTTACAGAGGGCAACCAATTGATGACGTTTCTCTCCCTCTTTTTCTCCCTCCCTTCCCCCTCTCTAAAAAAACATAATAAAATAATTTTTTTGAAGTATGGAATTCTGGGAGGCAAAAGACATTGTCCGTCTCGTTTACTGCTATGTGCTCAGACCCCATCTTGCTGTGTGCCTGACTACTGCCGAACTCTGCTGCAGAGTAATGTATGTTCACGTGCTTTATAGTATATGCCCACACACAGAAACATATAAAATATGAAGTACAGAAGTTCCATGTTGTAAAGAAGCTTAAAGGGGTTATCTGGTCCAACATTTGAATGTGTTGGTGATGAGTTTAAAAACAGATCAATTCAAGTCAGTACCAAAAGCCTGAGTCAAGTAATGACTAGAATTTACAACTTTGTTAAACAATATATATGTACATTAATAAAGATGAGATTTATTTCTAATAAATAATCTAGATTATTTATTAGAAATAAATCTCATCTTTATTAATGTACATACATATTGTATGTACATTACAATACGTACAATATATATGTATGGTTGATGTTTGGTGAGTATGAATTTTTTCACCCTGCTTTATAAAACCACTTTATAATTATTATAAAAGATATAAATGTTAGTCATCTCTAATAATATGCCAAGAATGATGTTAAAATATCTCAGAGTAGAAGGACCCACAAATGCTACGATTCAGCCCTGTGAATGTCCTCACAGACAAGAGCAAGTTCCAAAATCTTTAAATACATGAAAATCATCCAGAGCAGGTCATCGAATAATGCCATTATGATCAACATCATTTCCTTATAGTGTTGATTAAAAAATAAACAAATAAAATAAAAAGATTTCTGGCCAGGGCCACTGTCTGCGTGGAGTTTGTATGGTCTTCCCGTGCCTGCACGAGTTTTCTCTGGGTACTCCAGTCTCCTCCCACACCCCAGGGGTGTGCATGTGAGCTCCACTGGCTCACATGTCTACGCGTCTACACGTCTGAGTGAGTGTGGATGTGCCTGTGAGTGTGCCCTGGGATGGAGGGCACACCGTCCAGGGCTGGTTCCCATCCTGTGCCCTGCCACGCCAGGACACTCGCAATCCTGACTTGAAATAAGCATGTTGGAAAACCATTCTCTTACTTGTTTTTATTAATCTTTCTTAATACATGTATAGCTCATGTTTATTACAATGTTTAGTATCAGAAGTATTTAGGGTCCTTACTTAGAAGTTTGGTGATGTTTTTGTGATCAGAAATACGCCATATGAACTTAACTCCTGTTTATGTCAATTAGCCTTTGGTGAAACTGGTTTCATTATATGTCATTTTGCTTGAAGTACAGTGTCCAAGAAACTACAGACAACTTACTATACCGGTCTATCACTTCCCCCTTATACAAGATCAAAAAATTCTCAAAAAAAAAAAAAGGTACAATCTACTTTTAATCCATTTAAAAACCTAAAAGTCATCACTGTCAATTTTTCAGGTATAATAACTGGGGGTTTTTTGGTGGGTGTAGTAACCGTTTTTAAAATATTTAGTGTGAGTGTCATCCTAATACACCAAGGTTGCGGGTTCCATCCCTGGTCAGGAGATGTTCAAGAAGCAACCAATAAATGCACAAATAAGTGGGACAACAAATCAATGTTCTTCTCTCTCCACTCCTCTACTGTCCTCTTTCTAAAAAAAATCAATTAAAAAATTTTATTTCACCCTATGTATGCTAAAACAAAATAAATTTAAGCAACTTTATGAAAAAAATAGTATTGTAATTAATATCATGACACACACATACTCTTTTCATGCCAAAATGCATTCTGAGCACTTCCTTATTTTCTAACAAATCTTAATAATTATCATTTTAATGGCTCTATTTCATTGGAGAACCAATATTTTTTTAAAGATTTTATTTATTTATTTTTAGAGACAGGGGAAAGGAGGGAGAAAGGTAGAGAGAGAAACATCAGTGTGTGGTTGCCTCTCACATGCCCTCTACCAGGGACCTGGCCCATACCCCAGGCATGTGCCCTGACTGGGAATCGAACAAGCGATCCTTTGGTTCAAAGGTCGGCACTCAGTCCACTGAGCCACACCAGCCAGAGAGAAGAACCAATGTTTTTAAACATTGTTCAACAATGACTTGTTGGAAATTTTAGTTACATTATCTCATATGCCCTTCTACTCTTTAATTTGTATATGTGATATTAGCATGTTTGGATCATTATTCACAATGTTATTTTGTTCTCCCAGTATTGTTTAATATAAACTGCTCCTTTATGTAGTTACACAGTCCACTTATTTGTCACTTTCAAAGGCTACATGATATTGTACTGTGGTATTAGTGACACAAAATGAAACAGTCCCATTGTCTATTAAGTCTTCTGTATACGCCAAACACTGGGGATAAGAGATGGGAAAGGCACCATTGCTACCCTCCTGAAAAGATAACAGAATCTATGTGTAGTGTAGTGAGGGGTGGCGGGGTGAAGAAAGGAGTGGTCAGTTCTCCCCAGAAGAAAAGGGAGAGGGAACCATCAGAAGAAGATTCTGTGGTGATTCTATAACAATGCATAATAGAGAAGAGAAAATTCTTAAAGCAGGAATTTCAAGATTCATTAATACATTTGACAAATCAGCACTCATTACATTGAACACTGTGTTTCCTCATCACCATTATACAGTTCCTAGCCTCAGAGGCCAACTGAACTAAATTTATCATGAAGAAAACAGAGTCAAGAAAAAAGGCTGTGACCTTGGGTTAGGCAATTATTTCTTAGACATGACACCAAAAGAACAAGAGGTGGAAGGAAACTCGGAAAAACTGGACTACGTCAAAACTAAAAGCTTCGCTGCTCTGGAGAATACCCCTGAGAAAGTAAGAAAGGCAATCCAGAGAATGGGAAAAATTTGCATATCATATACATAAGGGACTTGTATCCAAAATATATAAAGAACTCATAATTTAAATGATTATAGTGATAACTGGACAACCTTGTGAACTTGTGGACCTTCTAAAAAACACTGACTTGTATACTTTAGGTGAGTGAATTGTAAGGTATGTGAATTATGTATTACTAAAACTGTTTTTAAAAGAATAGAAGGTGGATACCAGATTAGAGTAGGAATCAATTCTCTCTTTTTATTAAAGGCATCAATCTTTACATTTTAAAAAATTTATTGATTTTAGAGAGAGAGAAGAAGTGGGGGGAGAGAGAGAGGGAGAAACATCAATTTGTTGATCCACTTACTTACACATGCATTGGTTGATTCCTGCATGTGCCCTGACTGGAGATGAAACTGTAACCTTCATGTGTTAAGAGGATGCTCTAACCAACTGAGCTACCTAGCCAGGGTTAGGGTAGGAATCAATTCTTTGTTCAACTGCACTGGTAACGAAGCTAAGATCATATAAGGTATCAATTTTATTACTATAATGACTCACTGACTCCAGTAGTTAGCAGCTTAAAATCTATTTTCAACAACTGTAATTTATAATCTATAAGTGAGATTCAGCAATTTTTTGACTCACTGACTCAAGTGGTTAGCAGCTTTAAAATCTATTTTCAACAGCTGTAATTTATAATCTATAAGTGAGATTAAGCAAATTTTTGGGTTTTGATTAAAATTTTATTTTTTAAAAAAAAATTTTATTTATTTATTTTTAGAGAGGGGAGGGAGGGAGAAAGAGAGAGAAACATGAATGTGCGGTTGCTGGGGGCCGTGGCCTGCAATCCAGGCATGTGCCCTGACTGGGAATCGAACCTGCAACACTTTGGTTTGCAGCCTGTGCTCAATCCACTGAGCTACGCCACGATTAAAAATTTTTTAAAAAAGAGAATGAAAGTGGGCAAATGAAACCACTGACTGTCTTGAATATTACTTCAAAACTATCAGCGTTGCCAATTCTAGATGTGAAACCGTCCTTTCGGAGGTCACCTGAGATGATCTCACCTAAGGAAGAAAACTCACGCCCGTCCTATTGGAAAAGAACGCCCTGTGCTGCTGCTGCTGCGGAGGGCAGAACAGAACTCGGGGCAGCAACTTTCCTCCCCCTGCAGGACAGAATGTTTGGGTACCATCTGTGATAGGTAGTCGGCCTATTTCTTCTTCATGAAAAGAATGAAGTAATTTAATATTAGGTAAGTTTTTCAGAAAGGGCTAGGATTTTATTATTCTTCACATAAAGCATTTGCTGTAAGAACCACAACCTTGTCCATAAAAATAAAATAGCGTAGGACTAAACCAAACCCATTTCTTAAATATTTTCAAACATAACTTTTAAAGGAAAATCAACAGGCTAACTCGCAACAGTAAACTGAAAGGTATATTCTGATTGGGACCTGAGATGACTCCAATACTGTACATTAAATGCAGAAAACACTTCTGATGAAAAATGCAAATGCAAAAGGGGAATGAGACTCTACTCCTTCTTCCAGGTCTAAAACTAAGTACTTTTTTTTTAAGATTTTATTTATTTTATTTTTAGACAGAGAGGAAGGGAGGGAGGAACATCAATGTGTGGTTGCCTCTCATGTGCCACCTACTGGGGACCTGGCCTGCAACCCAGGCATGTGCCCTGATTGGGAATCGAACCAGCCACCCTGTGGTTCACAGGCTGGCGCTCAATCCACGGAGCCACAACAGCCAAAGCAAAACTAAGTATTCTTTACCTATATATGTCAAAAGGCTGAATAATAAGGTACATTTCCTGTCATCAATTATTCAAGAAACATTTCTTTAATTATGGTATTAGAATCACCCTATGGAGCTTGTGAAAAAATGCACATTCCTAGGCTCTACCCTAAATTATCAGACTCAGAATTTCTGGAACGGGGCCTGTGGGCTTGTTAAAATCATTCTTGGGACACTAAGTCTGAAAAACAAGACTTTTGATATCTGGAAGGGGCTGGGAGATGAGAAATAAACAATTATTGATAGGTTAAACTTTAGGAATATATCCACCATTTAAACTAATATTTGACAAAAACAATTTACCAAACTGACAAGAAAACTTAACCTAACTTTAAAAGTTATTCTATGGCTAAAGGTAGTATTGACACATGGGCTATTTGTGTCAATGTGGATGATTCTCAAAAATACAATGTTAAATGACAGTTTAGAAGGTTACTTACTATGAAATATGATTTATATAAAACTTTAAAAAACATGTAAAACAATATTTTACATTGTTTATGGCTATACACAAATATGTAATAAAAGTGTATAACATTCATAAAGATGATCATACACCAAATCAGGATGGTGATTACTTTTTAGGAAGAAAAGAGGGAAATAGAATCCAAGAGGGGAGCCCTGGCTGGCGTAGCTCAGTGGATTGAGCGCGGGCTGCGAACCGAAGTGTCGCAGGTTTGATTCCCAGCCAGGGTACATTCCTGGGTTGCAGGCCATAACCCCCAGCAACCACACATTGAGGTCATTGATGTTTCTTTCTCTTTCTCTCTCCCCCGCCCCCTCTAAAAATAAATAAATAAAATCTTTAAAAAAAAAACCCAAGAGGGGTCCAAAGGAGCTCTTCCATTGATTTTAATACTTTGTTCTAAAAATAATAAATTTGAAGATAAATTGGGCAAAATGTTAAGATTTTCAGGCTGGTTAGTGGTCTAGTTATGCTTTTCTGTGGGCTTAAAATATTTTAGTTTTCTTTTGATTTAGACATTCTGTGCTTATTTTAGAAAATGCAGAAAATTTAGAAAAGTCAAAATCCATTATTCCCAATGAAAAGCAGATTTCCTTCCTTTCTTTTAAAAATAAATTCCAGATAACTGAGTTATCTCACTTTACATTCAAAACACAGGATAATAAACTGGATTCCTCTTACCTTCACGGCATCCTGATGAAGAATATTAAACAGCTTCATTATCTCGGAGGAACTAAAATTATAACAGGATAAGCAAATCTATCATTATTTGCTGAATAACAATTGATAGAATATATAATAGTATATAATCAACTCTAGATTATTTACACTACAAGAGAAGTCAGATGAGAAGGAACAATTAATAATTCAAATTTACTCCTCCTAGAGACTCTTTCCTTTGCTTCTGAGACATGAAACCCTCCCTCTCGGCTTCTGCCCTCGATCCCCTTCTCTCTCGGTAAACTCAGACCTCAACGTCCCCTACCTCTCTACTGAATGCTCAATTTATGCTTACTTTAATTTAACATATACCCTCACGATCCTGAATTTTCATGATTCGTATAAGTGAAAACTCAAGATAGCACTCTTTTAAGTCGAGCATAGTGATAATGAAAAAGGACTTTTGAATCAGACAGAACTGGCTCACATGTGCACTGGGAATCTATAAGTAGCCGTGGACAAGTCACTTAACCGTGTTTGGGACACTGATGTTCTCATCCCTAGCACAGAGACAATACCATCTACCTCCCAGGGCTGGAAAGAGATTAAACTATGTTCAGCCCTGGGGTTACAATAAAGACTCGGTTCCTGCCCTTAAGAACTGTAGGAGAATTTTAACTATGATTACAGGTGCTACAGAAATTATTACTGATTATGAACTCAATATTTACACCATCAGCTGATCCCACTAGGGTCTTTAAAGGCAGCTCGGTCCAGGAACTTTGCCATGATGGTAAGTCCAATCTGCCTGGTCCAGCACAGTAGCCATTAGCTATAAGTGGCTAAGTGAGTACTTGAAATAGGGCTAGTGTAACTGAGGAATTGACATTTTAATTTAATTTAGTTTAAACTTGTAGCTAGTGGCCGCTGTACAGGCAAACACAGCTCTGCGGAGTCCTGCAGAACCCACACCTCAGGGTCGTGAGGCGAGCACGAATGTGTGCCACAGAGTGTTCCCTTTGGAATTTGGTTTACTTTGTTCACTCATGTGTCCCCAGTTCCTGGAAGAGTATCTAACACTTAGTGAGCCCTCCACAAATATTTATTGAATAGATCAATAATATTTGAGTCCACAAAGTGTATGATTCCCTTTAAAAGAAAGACTCCATCAATTAATTCCATTCAACAAATTCCATTCAATTAAAATAGTAAGCAACTATGTTACATAAAAAGCAGGTACTAAGGGGGACCTCAGTGCGGGGGGCAAAGGAGGCTGACAAGTGATCATGAAAGAGGCAAGACGAGGTCCCTGAAGATTCCGATCCAAAGGGTATTTATTAGTCAGTTAGAAGTGATCTTTTTTTTTATAGTGTACTTCCACTGTCAATTATTAAGCAATAGTACATAAAGCAATTCAATACCAACCTTTGTTTTGATCCTTTAATGTTACCACAAACAACACTTAGCTAAATGGAATTCCAGAGGAAAAGATCGTGTTTCACCATTGTGGTCAATTCTCTCAAAGAAGGATGTCTCCATTTTAAGGAATATTTAAATACTGCATCCTCAGTTGAAGTCTTGAAAGTGGACCCACACTAGTGTAGACCTAAGAACCTCCAACCATACGTAAGGATCTCTCTCTATATATGTGTATAATTTATTAAGGGCTTATCATGTGCTAATCACTTGACATACATTGTCTCATTATTATTACCTACATTATAAGTGCAGAAACTGAAGGTTAAATAATTCATCCCATCTAAAAAGTGCCAAGTAACCTTGTGTCTAAATCTAATGGTAGAGATATATTCCAGTCGTAAGATAGCTGCAAGAAGACCTAGAAATATGATCAAGATAGGGTTCTAGCCTCAAGTTTTCTTGCCAACATTTTCCTTTTAATTTTGGGAGGACATTTATTAAAGCTGAGGACAGTGACACAAGGAAGGGCTTAGGATAGAAGAAGCAACAGGAGCCCTGGCTGGGTAGCTCAGTTGGTTTGAGCATCATCCCCATACGCCAAGGTTGTGGCTTCCAGCCCTAGTCAGGGCACATACAAGAGTCACCCCCAATGAATGCATATGTAAGAGGAACAACAAAACAATGCTCTCTCTCTCTCTCCATTTCTCTGTCTCTAAAATCAATAAATAAATTAAAAAAAAGAAACAGTAAAGAACCTAGCCACTTAAGCCACTTAGACAAGGCTTTGGCTCTCTAGAGATCTTATAGGAAAGAAGTGAGCCAAGGCAGGGCTGCTGTTGGCTCACTGAAAAGTCGGAGAGAAGGGGGCCTTGTAGGCAGGTTCGGGGGTTAGCCCAGGAGAAGCTGCCACTGCTCATTGCTCCCCTGCTTGCAAATCTCCTGGAGACCCTTATAGTTTAGGAGAAAAAAATAAAGATGCACTTATAAGAGGGAAGAAAGGCGTGGGTGTGCTCCCCAGAGGGAAAGCACCTCTTGCAAACACTTTCTGCTCCTCTCAGTTCATATATATTCTGATGTGCATAATTCAATTATCCTGAACTTGAGAGAAAAACATTAGTTACTACCAGCTTCATGTAGGCTTGTCAGCAAAATTTTAAAAAAAAAAGTAATCATTATGCCCTGGCTGGTGTGGCTCAGTGAATTCAGCATCGGCCTGTGAACCAAAGGGTTGCCAGTTCAATTCCAGTCACGGCACATGCCTGGGTTGCAGGGCGGGCCAAAACCCCAGTAGGGGGTGTCCAAGAGACAACCGCACATTGATGTTTCTCTCCCTCTCTCCTTCCCCTCTCTAAAAATAAATAAATAAAATCTTTTTTTTAAAGGAATCATAATTATTATTAAATATAGAATTTGTACAGCAAATGTAAACAGAAACAACTGTGTTAACCATCAGGCAGTGGATTGTTTTAAAACACTTCCTAGATCTAAAATGTGGACAGTTAATAGCAGCAATTTGGGGCTTTGTCACTCAAAGGTGAATAAAAAGGTCCCAAGTATGGTTGGCTACAAGTGAATTTTATCGTTCTTACCTCATTCCAAATTTTTCAAGGCCAGACTTAGTAAGAAGGAACAGTTTTGGACCTGTGATTTTATTTTCTATGAAAGAAAAGGGAGAAAAGAGGTGAATGATTTTAGCATTTACAACATATGCTTTTCAATTTCTTTCCGTGGGAGCCCCCAGAACTTACTTAGATCCACATTTACTGAGTGCACCCACCCCAGGCAGCGGACTGTGTCAATACCACTGTTCTGATTTGCCACTCGGAAGGCCTTAATGTTAATTAGAAAACTGTATCAAGAGGCTTTTCTGATAAATCAGGTGAAACTTTTCAAATGACTTAAGTAAATTATTTGTAAGGAAGTCCAGCTGCAAAACTGGACTTCCAAATAGTCAAGGTTTGGGGCTGGGTAGGGAAGGTCTATTGCTCTTAGAATAGTCAGGTCAAAAACACAGCCTGAGACGTGATGGCCAAAGACATGATGTAGTTCTAAAACCTCCAAGTAAAGCATACCGTATTCTGTGTTTTGAAAGACACATATTGGCTTTATATTTCTTTCTCTTTCTATATAATAAATTCTAGTCTGTCCTGACCTCAGCTTCTAGAACTCTGGACTATTTTCAAACAAACAAAAATCTTCCTAAAGATAACAAGAATCCTTTAGATACAGAGAATAAGCTGATGGTTACAAAAGGGGAGGGGGAGGATGGGTGAAAAAAATTTTTTATGTGGAGGTCTATTTTCCATGGCCACACTTTAAAAAAAAAGAGGTAATAAGTGAAAATGAAGAAGTAATTTCCATAAAGAAAAAAAGTTAAATGAAAAGAACATTGTTTATACTTTTCTATCATAAAAAAGTTATTCAATGAAAAAAATCCAAACAATACAAAAACATAAAGTATAAAACATCAAAACTTACGCAAATTCTCCCAATTACCATGGTTAACATTTTGGGCCATTCAAGACATTTATCTATGCAAGTATGTAATTTCACACAAATAAAATTGTTTATAATCTGTTTTTCCCCACCCTACTGACACTTTCATCAACTTTATTGGATTACCCATTTCTCCTATTATCAATCATCAAATATTCTTCAAACTAAATTTAAAAATCTGTATCTTAAAAATTACTGTTGAGACAATGTCTTTTTCTGTTTACTGGCTGGTTGTTGCTTGTCTGTTCCTGTGTTCTCATTTTTCCATTTTTTCCCCCTTGCTCTTAGTTGACTTTATAACTTTGAGAATGATCTCTAGTGAGTTTTTTTTATTGGTTTTTTGTTCCCTTATTGTTGAGGGGAATCCAACGGTTTTGTGAGAACACACATTAAGGTATAGCTGGCATGAATTCCAGAGTCTGCAGACCTGACCTTAGAGTCCAGCTCTGGGTTGTGGAACTGTGCACCTGGAAGCTGTATAATTTTGTTAACCAGCGTCACTCCAATACATTCAATAAAAAAGAGGAAAAAACCCAGCTCTGCTTTTTTCCCCAAGCTCTGTGGCCTCTGGAAAGTTACTTAACATCTTTGGACCTCAAACATATCATCTGTAAAAAATATATATATATATATATAAATATATAATATATATATATATATAAAATATATAAATATATATGGGGGTGGGCTGGGATGGGAGTAAAAGACAGAAAACTGTACTTGAACAACAACTAAAATAAAAAAATTAAAAATATATATATATATGGATTGTAGCCTCTAAATTTGAGAGTTCCTGTGAGGCTATTCCATAATGAGTAAAGGAATCCAGCACCTTGTGCTTAGTTTTGTTGTATAAAAACAAATTTGGCCCCGGCTGGTATAGCTCAGCGGATTGAGCACGGGCTGCAAACCAATGGACACTTGTCTGAGTTGCCAGCCAGATCTCCAGTAGGGGGCGCTTGAGAGGCAACCACACATTGATGTTTCTCTCCCTCCCTTTCCCTCTCTCTAAAAAAATAATAAAATCTTAAAAACAAAAACAAACAAACAAAAAAAACAACCTGGACTTAGATAGGGAGAGACTTTATTAGAAAGATGACTGCAGTAGGGAGAACATTCCAGTCTAAGAAATATATAAACAGCTCAAAATCAAAGAGAAAGCCCTGATTGGTGTGGCTCAGTGGGTTGCGCATTGTTTTACACACCACAAACAGTAAGGTTTTTGGGTAAGGCCTCCAGCTGCGGGCGCATGAGAGGCAACTAACAATGTTCGTTTGTCTCCCTTTCTCCCTCCCTTCCCCAAATAAAATCTTCAAAACAAAAAAATCAAACAGAAAGAGGTGTTTATTTTTTAAAAATATAGACTAAACGAGGATCAAGCAGAGATAAGCAGAATCTTTGGAGGGGAAGAGACCCCAGTGGGGTCCGATAGGGCTGATCAGGAGGCATATTCCACTTTTTTAGTGTTTGCTCAGTTTTGGAGGCAAGCGCGAGTTCGGGGGCTTGAAGGAGAAAGAGAAGCCTGACTAAAATCTGATCAAGACAAAGCAGACAGTAATAAAGAGGCAACTGTGAATACTTGATCAGTTACCAACTAAAAGTGAGCCGTGTCTCCTATTGGCATTAGACTGTGGGCTCAAGAGAAAGATAATTTTGAAAATTGATGAATTAATTTACAGAATACTGCTGCAACAGAGAGCCAACATAGCCAATCACATTTTGGAGACAGAAAATATAAAACTACTTCATCCCTACTTGTTGCTATTTAAAGAAAAATTCCAATCCCAGCAGTGGAAAAAAAATAGAAGGGGGAAAGGGGGGATAAGAGAAGCACAATTTCTATACCCATCGAATTATCTTTAAGTTGAACCATTAGGTTCCTTCCATCCTAGTTCCGCCGCCTAGGCAAACAAGCCCCGAGGCGATTGCAAGTCTGCAGAATATGCAAATGCCACCAACTTCTACTGAACACCTCAGAGGAAGAAGCCAGACAAATTCAGCTTTACACCCATTAGGGGAAGTTGGGCTGGTAAAATCAATTGAAAGGCACAACCTGCCCTGGCTTGCTGTGGCTCAGCTGGCTGGACATCGTCCTGCAAAGCGCAGGGTTGCGGGTTCCATTCCCGGTGAGGGCACATGCCTGGCTTACAGGTTCAGTTTCCCCAATCCCGCCGCCCGTGCGGGATTGAGGCTTCTCTCTCACATCGATGTTTGCCTCCCTCTCTTTCTCTCTCCCTGCCCCCTCCCTAAAAAGATCAATAAAATCTTACACACACACACACACACACACACAACGCACACACACAAAACGCACACACACAAAACGCACACCTCCCCATGTGGTGTGATGTGGCCAAGCTGCGGGGTGCTGGGAGTTCAGGGGTCAACCCCGCAGTGTCCAGATTTAGCAAGCGAAACTGCTTTCGGAGAAGAAAACGCGATCAACAGTCGACAAACACACACGCACAAACACACACGCACGGAGCCCCAACCGGGATGCTGCGGGAGGCGCCGGCGATTCGGAGATCAGCCCAGCAAATTCCCTGTCCTCCAGAAACTCCCACATTGTGGGGGTGGAGGGGTGTGTGTGTGAAGGAAACTGAAACTTAAAATCAAAACTCATTTTAATGTGGCAAGTGTTCAAGGAGCTCAGTTGCCAGAGGGATTTCCCATTTAGGGGAACCTGAAACACAGCAATCCTCCGACCAAGGTCTGGCGAAAGCGATCTTCTAACTCAAAAACGGGAGCCGAAGGAAAGCAGATGACAGCTGGTGGCGGGGGGGGGGAGGGACTGAGCAGAAAAGAAAAAGGACTCATGGACAACAGGGTGGTGATTGCTGGGGGGAGGGGGTATAAGGGGACTAAACGGTAATGGGAAAAATATAGTAAAGTTTATCTATTTAAAAAAAAAAGCGGGGGAGGGGGGGTGTCAAGTCTCGGCTGTCCGGCGCCCGGGTGTCAAGTTCCTTTGGAAACCCACCAGAGTTAGAACGACTGCCCCACACGCAAGCTCATGACCGCCAAAGTTCGCTTCCTTCCCACGAGACCCCTGCCCCTGCCGCTCCAGCTTCTCCTTCCACCATCACAGGGTTGTCCCTCCTGGGCGCCGCCCCCTGCGGTGCCTCCCGCTGCAGGTCTCCCTGCCGCGCCTCAGGTCCCCTTCTCAGAAGGGCTCTCCGCCTCAGGTCATCCCTCCGCGGGCGCCCCCGGCCTCAGGTCCGCCCCCTCTGGTGCCTCCCGCGTCAGGTCCCCCCTCGCCGCCTTGGGTCCTCTTTGAGGTCCCCTGCTCACTGCCCCGGGGCGCCCTTTCTCAGGCCTGCTGACCCCGCCTCGGGTCGCCGTCCCTCAGCCCCTCAGCCCTCTAGCCCTCCTACCTTGGAAGCGTTTCAGCAGTGCGGGATCTTTGAAACCATTGAGCTGTAGGAAGGAGCACACCTGCTCCACGGTCCAGTCCTGACGGTCGGGGTGGAGTTCGGGACCTGGGGAACTCCTCACCGCTGCGAAAGACACGTTTTGCTGCGTTCCTGGGCTGCCATCGCGTCGGGGCCGCTTGGGGGTCTTCTCACAGTCGGCTTTCTGCATGACTGCACCTAGCTCCCGGAGCTCGGAGCAGCACAGTCAAGAACCGCGGCGTGCAGCTCTGGCGCAGGCGCACTGAAAACCCGACACGGGGGGCCAGTCCTCTCAGCCTTACCAGCTACTGTCTTTTGCGCATGCGTACTGACAGCCCGGCCCTTGGGGAAGGACAGTGCAGCCCCTTCAGACCTGGCCCCTTGCGCAAGCGCAAAGACCATCCAGTGGACCTCAACTGCGCCCCGGCGTTTAGGGGAAACCGAGCAGGGAAAAGCAGAAGCAGGGGTAATGTTAATAGCGGGGAGGGCAAGAAAAGAGTGGGCCCCGCAACGCGTAGAAGTCAGGCTTCTGTCAGTAGCAGGAAGGGTACAGTCCTCCAGACGAGTACCCCAGGCTCGAATCTGATGTTTCAGATTCCCCAAACTTGAAACCTAAAAGGCCATCAGACTGCCAGAATCTTCTCAGTTAAGAGAAAAATGGTCAAGAAGCTGAAGTGGAAGACCCTGAAATGATTTCAAATTTGATGTAAGAGCATCTTCTTGCATTTCACAAACTCGACAGTATTTCTGGCCAGTGAGAGGGCCCTGGGGAAGCCTGTCCATGGACCCTTAGCCTATCTTCAGATTTCCATACAGAAGATGACTTGGAACTTCTCTCCAAAAGAATCCTCAAGCCCTCTCTCCATCCCAAACCCTTGCCCAGAGGCAAGGGGGTGGCCAGTCTGATTACTTAAAATTTATCTTCAAGACTCATCAAGAAAAATGTGGGGACATACATGGGGGTTGTGCAACGAGGAAGAGAGGAACTGTGCAATGGCCGCCCTTGGAGTGGTGAGGAGGAGGGAGGCAGCAGCGAAGCACTGAGCCCCATCCCCTCTGTGTGTGTAATCAAACCTGTTCAGGGAAAAAAAAATCTTCAATGACTTAGGAAGTCTGGCCAGAAAGTATCCAGCCATGTACTATGACAAATAGAGACATGTAGTGAAGAAGATACAAGAAACATTGTACGTAGGACAAGGACACCTCAGTCCCCTTCAAAGTAGGTATCTTAGGACCTCACACAGTTCTCTCTCATCCCCTCAGCCCTCTAGCTGCTGTCGAGTTTTCCTGAATTTCATCGAGGGTCTGAAATCTCTTCCCTTTCAAGGTGATTTTAGTTTTGGGAAAAGGTGGAAGTTGCAGGGCACCATATCTAGGCCATAAGCGGGGCTGAGTGACCTGGGTGATTTGATGTTTTGCCAAAAAATCTCTGCATGAGATATGATGCATGAGTGGATGTGTTGTATGATGAAGCTGCCAATCACCAGTTGCCCATAACTGCAGCTTTCTGAATCATCTGAATAGTTTCCAAAGAGGAATGTTCAAGCATGACACAAAATTTGATGCAGATTTGCTGCTCTAGTCGCTCAGTCATTTTGAATGTGACGGCTACACAGTACAAATGCTCACTCATAGGTACTACCACCCCTCTGACTAGTACAGTAAAGTCCAGTCCACTCTCCTTGGCTGCCAGGTTACGTCGATGTTGAGTAAACTGTTCTTGTTATATTAACAATGGCTGGACTTTTTCCCCACAGACCTTGTATACTACCTGGTGGTAATATCCTGAGAAAATGGCAAGCATCTACCCGTCTCCTTAGCCACTCTGGGGCAAGACCCAACTTCCCTATAAATCCTGCACTGTGTGGCTGTGGCTGGACAGCTCAGTCCATCCTGAAACGCCAAGGTTGCAGGTTCCACCCCTGGTCATGGCACATACAAGGATCAACCCAAGAATACATAAGTAGTGGAACAACAAATTAATGTCTACCTGTCTGTCTCTCTCTCTTCCTCCCTTTCTCTCTCAAATCAATAAAAACATTTTTTTAAAGAAAAATTTTGGTCCATGCAATTAACTGGTAAAAGGACTACCACCACTACTACTAAAGCCAGTACAACTTTATATCAACCCAGCCATAGACCTATCTAGAGGATCAAGGATGTATGAAGCAGATGATCAAGCAGTATGAAATAGTAGGCTAGTGGTGCACAAAACATTCTTAGTAAACACTTAGAGCTTTCCTGTGTGCCAGGAACTGTTCTAAGGGCTTTACAAATATTTATTCATTTAAGTATCACAATAACCTTAGGATGTAAGGAAAATAGAAATAAGTTAGTAATTTGCCAAGTAACACGCCTTGAAAGTGATGAAACGTACCCATACAATGTAGCCTGGTTGCAAAATTTATGCTCTTAATCACTTGCCAGCAATTGTTTGTCAATGAGAGTTTTGATATAAAATTATTTTATATTAGTTAACCCAAAATTTGAAATGGCTTCCTTGTCCTATAGACCTGTGAGAGAAGGTATAGAGAGGTGTACTGACCCTTCATCTGCACAGAAGGGCCGCACTCAGCAAAATCCATGAGCCCCAAAATCTGAGAAAAGACCAGACACTTACCAAGACTTGTGAAACCGAAACAAGAGGGTAAAATAACAACACACAGCATACATGTGAAAGACCTGTATTTCAACTTGGAAATGGCTGGCTTGAAGACTTGTGTTTATAAGACCAGTGGGGAAATCTGCCCTGACAGCAAGTTCTTCTGGGCAGAGGATGGTATAAGCAGGTGATATATAAATGTATAATCGCTGGGTTTGCTCAAAATCAGTTGCTTTGAGAACTTTAATTTTCTATTTGTTTTTGTCTGGTAAAGAGCGTATGTAACTTGATACCATATTTATTATTTTTCCTCTAATCCCCTACTGCTAGGGGTCCTACCTCTTGTGCTAGTTGGTTGGTTACTTCTTCAAGGCCCCATGACTGCTAAGTGACAAAGTTGAGATTTAAAGCTGACTGTAAAGCTTGGGCACTTTCCAGTTTGCCACTTCATTTAATTCCACTTAAGTCCTGGTGATCCTATTCCATCCAATCACTTTACAACCTGGGAACAAGTACTTACTGGAAACAGCCCCTGTGCCGGGTCACACTGAGAGAAATAAGTGCTTGAGCTCTTCTCGTACCTCACTGTGTTGGGACTAGAAAAGACTGTAAATTCAATTAGCTTAAGGCCCATTTCTTATTGACCTCAAATACTCACAGCAGCACTTTCCTGCTCTTCCCCAGCTACCTTCCCACCCGCCCACCCAGATGAGCTAAGTGCTTTTATTTCTGGCAGCATTACCCTGTGGTTTTATATCTCTCCACAGTTTCCTCTTCAACCAGTGCTGTTGCATCCTGATGAAGCTCCTGATTCTTTATTACTTCCTCTTCAATCTTTACTGAACCTAACCTCCTCAAGACACTCTTTTATTCCCCACCCGCCCAAAGCCAAAAGCCAAGCCAAAGTTCTTTTTAAAATAATTTAAAATTTTTTTTTTAAATTTAATGATTTGTGTGTGTGTGTGTGTGTGTGTGAGAGAGAGAGAGAGAGAGAGAGAGAGAGAGAGAGAGGGAGAGAGAGGAATATTGTTGTTCCACTTATGTATATATTCATTGGTTTCTTCTTGTATGTGCCCTGACTGGGGATGAAACCTGCAACTGTGGCATATTGGAATGATGCTCTAACCATCTGAGCTACCCAGCCAGAGCCAAAACTCTTTTTTTTTTTAAGTATTTCTTTTCATGTCTGATAGAAAACTTGGAAAATAAAATGTGTATGTACATAAATACAGATCCAAATATCATTTCCTGGTATGTACCTTATAAGTAAGACATTTCTATTCTTAGATATAGAAAGTTATCTCCAGGTCTGGGAATTCTTTGAGAAAAGGAGACCTTGCAAAATGACAATAGTTACCATACTCGAGTACCTAGTATGAGTCAGACATTGTGCTCGAGCTTTGCTTTATATCCATAATTTCTAATTCTCATAACAATGTCATTAGATAGGTACATATTATACTAGTTGGGCCTATTTGGTTATTAATATGTTTATTCATTCAACATATATTAATATTTACCAGGTACTTACTAACTTCCCTGACACGTAAGACACATCAATGAACAAAAGAAACAAAAATCCTTGCCCTTGAACTTCTGGTCAAGATGGCAGCATAGGTAAACATGGCTTGTCTCCTTGCAAACCCACACCAAAATTACAACTAAATTGTAAAACAACCATCACTCAGAGCCATCAGTAATTGAGTTGAATGGAAGTCTGGCAACTATGCAATTAAAGAAACCACATCCCTCCAGCTGGTAGGAGGGTCAAGACATGCAAAGCACTAGTCCCACACCCAAGTGTGGTGGATAAAAATTTGGGAGGGATATCTCAGGAGCGAGGGGAGTCCAGGCCTCCCAGTCCAGGGTTCCAGTGCCAGGAAGATAAGTCCCCGTAACTTCTGGCTGTGAAAATCAGTGGGGACTCAGTCAGTGGAAGAAACTTCTAGTGACCCAAGCAGTTCTTCTTAATGAACCCACCCATGGACTCACATACTCAGACTCACTCCCTCTGAGCTCAAGAACCGGAGTAGCAGCTTGAAAGGCACCAACAGCATACAGGGAGGAAGTGAAGGATCTGGCATCAAGGCGAGAACTGGGGGACAGCTTTCTCCCAAACAGAAAGGTGGCCAGAGGCCATTGTCCCTTTTCTGAATCCTATCCCCTCTGAGTCACAGAGCCAGCAGGTGGGTACCATATCTGAGACTATTTCAATCTGGCTAACACTGTTTGCCCTGACCTGGAGATGCCTTGAAACTTAGTCCTGACCAAATTATGGGCCCACCCAAGCTGTCACCAGAGACTTTTCCATATGAATGGCTGATCTTGGCTCATGCTTCACAACTTCTTAAGTCCTCTCAAACAAGCATCGGCAGACCTCAGTCAGCTTCCAGCCTCCATAACTCTTGCTAAATGGCCCCAGGCATAGCAGTAACAGCAGCCAGTCTCAATTCACAACTTGGCTTTGCCTTGGAATCTCCAAGCCCAGAACAAGTAACAAGTGACAGCCATTTGAGATTACTTTATAGCCCAGGCAGGGTGGCCCTGAGCAAAACACAGGTAGGGGCTGACCTTGGCCTGCACCACGTGGGAAACCCAGAGCCCGTGTTCCCAGTGGACAGCTACAGGCTACATTGGAGAACCACCATCCTGCCCCTGCACAGCTGCTCCTCCACGG